TACTTAAGGTTGAACGGAAAAATTTGCTGGTGATACTTAAGGTTGTATCGTTTAAAATTGGTGGTGCACAACCTGGCAGAGTTTGGGAACCGCTGCACTAGTGTATGACCAGCTCGTAGCAAAAATACCAGAAATCTTACAAGGACGGGCGAGGTTCTTTGGGTGAATATGATAACTTTTATTAGACCAACTTAAATAGTTGGAATTTTTCTTCTTAGAAAGAAATCTTACAAGAAAGTCTGTCTGCTTGGGATTTCCAGTCCAATTTGTATAGACCCATACTGTTCAGAGCCTGGAAAAATAGTCAAGTGTCAGGGTGCATATTAAGACTAAGCGTAGATTCATTTTTTGCCATGTTAGGATACTGTCATCTTATCCAGAATTGTTAAGGTAATGTAGAAAAAGATGCTGAGACTACTGTTGATAGTGGTCAGCTAATTGTTCTTGTCTTCATCACCCTCACACTGAGTATCTTTTGCCAGTTTACCTTGCCTCCGTATCTACTTTGTCTCTGTGGACTCCTCTTTGGGGTAGCTCTCCCATGTAAGATTTAAGGTCTGTGAGAGAGGCTCCTGTGTTGCTCTGTTGTGTGTCCACACAGTATTTGGTGTAATAGGGCTGCAGGCATTACTGGAATACAAATTAATAATAAATGAGAGCCCAGCTCTTCTTGCTTGGACTCTAGGGTGATGATGTAAGCTTCCCCAACATGTTCTGCATGCTGGGCTCTATAATATATATATAATGCTTCAGTAAGCATGCTGTACTCTACCATGCCCCATTCACAAGATGTAATTTATCCTTCATCTTCTGAATCCCTTCTGTGTAACTGAGAGGTAAGCAGTTCAGAACAAATAGGGTATATATTCCCTAAGAGATTGATGGTGAGGGCAGTACAGGACAATGGTGGTGGCAGAACTTTTGGGAAGGCTCAGTAGTTTGGGTTGAATAACAAGCCGAAGTTTGGATAGCAGTTCTCAGAGCTCTGTATGTCTGTGGCACTTTCTATCTCATGAGAAGCTGGGTTGTTCTCTAGATCTCAGCTTCTTTTTCCTTCCGTTCACTCAGCTGTTGCTCTCAGGACAGGATTTCTTGCTGCATTTCTGCACCTCTATTTCTATAGCACCCTAGCAAAAATAGGTGGTGTCCCTATCTACTGGCAGCCTGCTGTTGCTTTTTGGTAATAAAATTACTCTCTTAGCTTCAGTGGTAGAAACCTGCCTTGTGATGCTTCACATCACAAGTACATATACTGTTAATGACTGGTTATGTATCCAGGCCCTGGAACTACAATAGGGGTAGAAGTTAACTGAAGTAAGGGTGAACAGAAATATTTTGGCCAGCTCTCTGATCCATCATTAGCACCAGGCCACCGTCTGTGACATACCTGCCAGCTGATATTTTTGCAATAGGCTATGTTCTTCCTCACTGCTACAAGTTAATCAGGGCCCTTTAAAACAGATTTCAATGCAATTAGGAGCCAAATTAATTTTACTCTGGGTTATATCAAAGCTTGCTTTGAAACAGACCCCTGTGCTTGATGGTGGCTTAAAATGTCACTTCTAAGTGCTCAGAAAGTCAGGAGAGCAGCTGTATTTTCCAGCAAGAATTACTACAGGCAAACAAGTCATTTTAGGCCACCCTGCGTGATAAAATCAGATTGAAACCCTGCAGTATCACTCTTGATGTTTCTGAGCAAGCCTGTGTCCATGTTCCCAAAAGCAGAAGGGAAAAACTGGCATGACCAGTCAGCATAGGTGGTTTGAGGAGGTGTTTATTGACAAGTGCACAGAGACGATGAGAAAGTTGAGAGCACTACTGCGCACTGGAAGACACTTGTGTCATACAGCTGCCAAGAAAGGTTGGAGTGAAAACTGCAATACTAGGTCTTGACCAAACCTGCTTAAAGCTCTGAAGTCCCTATCCCTTATTCCCAGAATTGCCAACACATCCTTTGGCAGGGAAGGGAAGGAAAAACTCTGCTCCTAGATGTCCCTCCCTGGTCTCTTGACATTTCAAATGTGCTATTGCATGTGGCTCTCCCTGTCCTACAACACCAGCATCAGTAACTTAAGAGATGCTGTTTGCAATGGAAAGTAGAAGCCAGAGGCATTAACCCTTTCAGTGGCAGGGTTATTTGGAACTGAACAAGTTACACAGAGTGCTTCATGGGCACAGCTGAGTTTTTGCCCTGCAAGCAAGAGTCCTGCTCCTTGGGTGTGGGCAGTGTCTGCATGGGTTAGAACAGAACCTTCTTTCTCAATGACTCTTTGCTTCAGGAGTTTGTTGCATCTAAAAAGCAAAGGTTTCTGGAGACAGTGAGGATCACGGAAAGGTGCTTAGCCACTGTCACTTTTTTTTAAAGCAGAGTTTTAAAAAAATGAAACTCTACAAATGGCCAAACCTAGCAAAAAGGTTTGCACGCAGCACGAACAGCTCCAGACTACAGCCTTCTCGCCGTGCCTCGCAGCATGGCCTGGAATCTCGGCACTGAGGATTTGTTTGCACACTGGCGCGCTGAATTCCTTTTCTTATCAGTGCAAGAAAGGCACTCGCCTCTCTCTCGCTCACAGCTTTCTCCTTGGAAGGAATCTGGTCGTTTGACTTGTGTCCAAGGATAAAAGCTCCCTCGCAGTCTTTTTGCTTCTCTTTTCAAGGAGCAGGAAGATTGACTGGGCTCCAGCAAACCTACCTCGCCTAACTTCAAACCCACCCGCGTGGTGTGGGTTGGAAAGTTCAGCTCAGATTTATATGCTATTGGGTTTGCTTTCTACTTGGGAGAGACTCTGAGAGTAGAAATCGAGTGGAGAAGCTTGCTGGTAGTAAACTGGACAACATGCAAAATTAGCTTTTGTACAGCAGAGCCAGCGTGAGGTCTGGGCACCACTTAAAACATATTTATGCCCCATCTTTAAGGTTTATATGGGATTTAAGTGGTGAACAGGTGTTTTGCAGGCCTTGTGTGCTTGGGGCAATTTCATTAAGAGTGAAGTACAAAGAGTGGGAATGAAAGCATGCACATATTATAATTATAATGTTATATTGCATAATGATGCAATAAATGTAGTATATGAATAGGCTTGGCAAAATTTGATCTTTTTTTTGACAGCTAAAATCGATGGTTATTTTAAGCATTTATTACAGTTGATATCAATTAACATTTTTAGTGAAATCCCTGGCTATGCCACCCACGCACTAGTCCTTTGGCAGTGGCTTGGGCGGCTGTGCTAGTAAGGCTGTACTGGGAGGGGGACTGGAGGGCTGTTGGCAGCTGGGAGCCCAGTGCCGCCAGATGCAGCTCTGCGGGAGTTTGGACCCTGTGTGTGCGTGCGTGCGTGCGTGCATGCGTGTGCGCATCTCCAGGGAAACTTGGCTGCGAGCACAGCTGGTGCCAGAGCAGCCCCCGATCAGGTGAAGCCTTTCCCCTGCTGCCTCCTGGTGAGTTCCCGCTGCAGCAGGCGGGTTTCCCCTGCGTACCCGCCTGGGGTCCGGGTCATCCTCTGCTGGCCTGGCACGGTGCTGGAGGAACGGCCTGGGCCCCGTTTTATCCCCCGACTCCTGTGGTGCCAACTGGGACCAGGGCTTTCTCTGTTGCAGGGGCACAGCTCTGGTCTCTGCCCACCTCCCTCTTCATATGGGTCCTGCAGCGAGGAACCTCAGTCATAGATGGTACCCCCTGCCCCATATTTCCTAACCCCCGTCCCGGATTTTTTTTTTCACCTCCTGTGTAGAAGATTATCATCAGTAATCATTTTCTGTTGGTCTGTGAGTGTGAGGCATCATCGATGTTTATCAATTAAAAAAAAAAAAAAAAGACTCCTACCAAGCCTGTTTATGATTATTCTGTAGAGTACCTACATAAGTAGCGATTTATAGTATTATTTCTGATTTACACGCACACATGCACATACGTGAATCGGACGCCTGTGTCAGCTCAGTTGCTCTTGTAGCATTATCCTGGTTACAGATACAGCATCGCCGAATGCTTTTCCCTTCTCAGTTTATACTGAACAGTTCATCGTGACAAACAGGAAGGGTTGGTATACTTGGGGCTCCTCATCCAACCGTGGTTGTGAAATCTGTGTTTCAGTCTTACCTCTGCCATAGCCTCCTTGGGTGAACTTGGGCAAATCACACTACCTCTTTCTGCAGCTCAGCTTCCCACCTGTAAAATGTAAAATAGTGAAACCCTGCTTTACAGATTGGTGCTGAGGATAGACATTTTAGTGCACGTAGCACTCCTGGGGGCTGTGGTGATAAGGGGCCTTAGATAAGTCTGCAGCCAGCATAAAAAAGAGCAGTGTGGTTAGTGTTGGATGTGAGTTTTTCCATCTCTTGGATCAAGGAGCCATCAGAATAAGCATAGCTATGAGCAGTAATTTGTTACCTTTGAGGCTTGATTTTAATCCTTAGTAACACGGGATGCCAGCAACACAAGAGAACAGGAGCACCCTGACACATCCACACCTCTCTCTCCATGGCCCACACAGTGTATTATCACATGATTCTCCAAGGTCTTCTGGTCTGGAGCTGCTCAGAGCAAGGATTGAAAATAATTGTTTCGCCCAAGGCTATTTATACTGTGTGCATTTTTCTGCATTGGGTAAGGAGGTCAGGACCACCTTTAAAGCACTGGGAGACGATGGGTACCTGCAACCTTCAGGTGGTTAAATCAGAATGATTTGTATTTGTAGAAGTGGGGGCTGAATTCACTCTTGCTCCCGGCAAGAAGAAAGATAATAAATTATTCTCATTAATCTGTGCTGTAATTTAGACTGTAACTTCCCTGTCACAATGAATCTGCTACCTTGTCCATACTGCTCAGCAGAAACCAAGATGTAACATACTCTGGGGGTGAGCATCAGTTCATCAGCCAGGGGTGGGGGGCAAGTTAAAAGCCAGTGTCCTGTACCTTTGGGAATTAGCCTTTAGTGGCAATGCAGAGAGTTGTGAATTATCGTGGATTTGCACAATTGAAGTGGGCTCTGGATTTCCCCCAGGTTGAGTAGCTCTACTGAGCAAAGTACGTCATCCCGGCTGATCCGGAAGCATAAACGCAGGAGGAGGAAACAAAGGATGCGGCAGATTGACAGGGTAAGGATGAAACCGGAACATAGGGCAGCATGTTTTTCTGAATAGCACAGTGTGCGCGTGAACAAGGTTACGGGATGGATCTACATCCCCTGAAGTCAGCAGAAAGACTCCCTTGGATCAGGTCCGTAATGACCTAGGAGATGTGAAGCCATGTCTCAGATGACAACTGTTCCCTTCAGCCCTTTGCCTTTGAAGCTGAGTGACCCCAATTTTTGCTACATTTCCACAGCCACCTGCTCCCTTTAGACAGCCTCCGCCAGGATGCCCTCCTGTTAAAACCTGGGGAGAGAGTTAGTCGAAAAATATTTCCTGAACATGCTTGTGCTGTTTCCTGGTTGTTGCCTTGCATACATTTATGGGATCATGTTTTGTTTGCAAAGCTGTTTAGGGAGATACTTTGATATCTCTGAGCACAAGAACTCACAGGCACATGAACGTCTTAGCAACGTCTTAGCAAGAGAAGAACTTTCTTTAAGCCATCCAGTCAGGGAACAGGCTCCACACCTGTGGTTAGCTCAGACAGAGGATCTCTAATCCTGAGCACATGCTAAGAGCAATTCGCATACAGTCCGTGGATGAAATGTGTCTTTTTCAAGAATTATAAATAATGAACCAGTTTTAGGAAATCCAGTTTTAGGAAATCACAGTGGGTTCCTGGATGGCTCCCAAAAAGAAGAAAGGTCTAAATTTGATCAGTTGGTTGCTCCTAACGAATTCCTCCCTACCCGTTATTTTTACTGCCGTATTTTAATATATTTTTAAAAGATGTGATATTTATGGCTTTTCATTTGCTTTTCTATTTCTTCCAGTCATCCTCCTTTAGCAGCATCACAGATTCCACCATGTCTCTAAACATCATCACCGTCACGCTCAACATGGGTAAGAGGGCATGTAGGATCATAAGATCATAGGAATTTAGTAGAATTGTTATTTTATTAATAATTGGATTTATCCTAGCGCTGCATATATGGAGTGTTTGCTTTTAAAGTCAACATTGTCCAGGATAATTTCAGTCCCTCAGCTACTGTAAAGAGGGCCTAAGTCAGAGGTGTGCAAAATACCGGGGAGCGGATCGCTGCTCTGCTTCGGGACCCAGGCCCTTACTATCACTGCCGCGCGATCCCAGCCCGGCACTGCCCTGCTCATCTGTCCCACTCCCAGATGCCTCTCTCCTCTCGCCTGCAACCCCATCCCATCCGCCTGGCCAAGTGCACCATGTCCACGGTGGTCTCAGCCAGTCTCCATGAAGACCCCACCCACCCACTCTGTCAAGCATCCCCAGCGGTAGGTTTAGGGTGGACAGCTCCTGGGTTGGATAGGATCAATTGCCCCTCCCCACCCCCTGCCATACTGGGAAGGGTCAGCATCCCCTGTTCCCCCTCACCCCACTGCACAGGGTCAGATCAGCACCCCTCAGCCTACAACAGCTCACCAAAACTCCCTGAGTGGCCCTTGAGCCCAAACAATTGCTTACAAAAGTAAGTCCTCCTTACTTCAGTAGACTCATGATTAGGTTTAGGGAATGTGAGTTAAACATCATGACACTTAACCGCTGCCCAGATTCCCAAGTGCAGCTTGTGTTTGCTGGCATACCTTGGCTCCTGCATTGCAGCTGGCTCAGATTGGCATTCTTTTGGGCATGGAGGACTGGGTCTCTGACCCAAGCCACTGCAGGTAAAATTCTCATCCTTGCAGAAATGGTCCTGCCAAGGCAGATGTTGAGAGTCCCTGTCGGGGAAGCAGGCAGCAGGGTGGTGAAGACCTATACTGCTGCTGTGCATACTGTCTCCATTGTCCAGCTACACAGAAATGGGCAGGGCTGTCAGGCCAACACTTTTCACCAGCACCGAATTCCTGTGGCCTCAGTGAAGTATGGAAAAACAAACGCAGCCTGATGCTGATAAGTGTTTAATATCTAGGTGAAGACAGGACTTTTCAATACAGTTTCTCTCCCTCATTTATTTAAAATGTGTAAATTTTCAACATGTGCTATGAAAAAATAATCTGCAGTCAGCAGCTATCTCCTACTACAGTGCATGTGCCAGGGACAGTCCACCAGCTCAGCATACCCTCCCGCTCTGAATGTCGAAAACATCCCAGTTGATTAATGCGGCAGCATTAAGAGAAGACAGATGATGTCCAGGTTTCTCAAGGCCATGGAATAACTTACTGCCAGCTTTCAATGTCCTGCCAATCACCTTGTTTGCTTTCTTTTCCCCCTGTCTATATAGAAAAATATAATTTCTTGGGGATCAGCATTGTAGGACAGAGCAACGACCGGGGAGACGGCGGGATTTACATTGGCTCTATTATGAAAGGAGGGGCCGTGGCAGCAGATGGCCGTATTGAACCGGGAGACATGCTTCTACAGGTTGGTCCATGTGTGAAAAATGATACTGCTGTCTGAGGCATTAGTGGCTTCAGGTCAGCCTTTATACGGGGCTGCTTAGCCCTGGCGTCTGTGAGCAAAATTCTTCTCTGTGCAGAGGGGCTTGCCTAAGGCATTTTATCACTTGGGCCCCCCATTCTTCACTGTTTAATTTGCAGTCCCTTTGCTCGCTGGATGACCAACTCTGCTGCAAGATAGCTGCACCTTCCCCAGCAGATGAAAATATTTTAATACTAATTACATTTGGTGCCTCACTTACAGTTCTTGAGCGTATATTGTTAAGCGCCATTCTTAGGGAAATACACAACATTAAACTAATTCAAATGGGTCCTTCCCCTGTCTGTTGCAATATGGGACCATCTGTATCCTTTGTGATCTGCTCTAGGTGAATGACGTCAACTTTGAGAACATGAGCAATGACGATGCAGTACGGGTTTTGCGGGAAATAGTCTCCAAGCCTGGGTAAGTGCCTTTCCAAATCCCTTCTTTCCTCTCCTCCTCCTCATTCTCTTGCCATTATGAGTATTGAGCAAACTGCAAAGAGTTTGGCAGTTCAGTTGGGATAAATATGTAGAGCATGGACACTAATCTCAGCTCTTTGACCTTCTTGGTGCAAGTGCTGAACAGGTGAGATCCCGTGTGCTGATATACCTGATAAAACGAACACAAGCCGGGAATCATCATACTGTTTCATTCCCTGCAGGGTTTCTAGGACCTTGTTCCTTTATAGGGTGGGACTTTCAAAGACCTCCACAGCTGCTGATCCTGCACTTTTCGCCAGCACTGAATTCCTGTTGCTCGGATAACGTGTGCAGATCCAGCCTGATACTGGCACGCAGTCCCTACACTGACTTCTTTGGAGGCAAAGTGTCTATGGAAGGACAGGGCTTCCATTGAAGAGGCAACATGCCCAACCCTCTGATCATTACAGCAGGGATGTGAGGTAGATCATCCAACCGGTGGTATGACAATTTGGCCTACATCTCAGAAGCCTTTCCCCAGATAAAGAACAAAGATGTTTCCCGTGATGCAGTGTCAGTCGCACAGCTTCTACAAGGAAGGAACAGAGTCATCCTTACCTGTTTTTCTCATTTTCAGACCTATCAGCCTAACAGTGGCCAAATGCTGGGACCCCACACCCAGGAGTTACTTCACTATCCCCAGGGGTAAGTGAGCAGCCAGCTTTGTGGTGTTGACAGGCGCAGAGAATTCATAGCAAAAAAACCCACCGGGTCCAGGCATTTCCTCACTATTAAATCCTGGTGAGTGGAGCCTGCCAAAGTCTGATTTCTTTCTTATTACTTCCTTTTGTTGTTTCAGCTGAACCAGTGAGGCCAATCGACCCTGCAGCGTGGATCTCTCATACCACAGCCATGACGGGAGCATACCCCCGTTACGGTATGAGCCCCTCCATGAGCACCATCACATCTACCAGCTCCTCACTAACAAGCTCAATTCCCGATTCGGAAAGTAAGTCACACTGCGGCCAGCACAGGGCAGGTATCTTCTGCTCAGGGCCGGCAGTGTAGAGCTATACAAAAAGCAAAACAAACCACAAACCAAACCACAAGCACAATGCGAACAACAGCTGCAAAGAAAACCTGTGTTTTTCTATTTATTTTATTTTTGACTTTTGTGGGGAGCATAAAACTTTCCAAAGGTCAAAGGTTAAAACTGCGATAACACAACGCCAGTTGAGCAAAGGTTCACACTTTGGAGAGGATGGTTTCTGGCCCTTTAAGACAGTTCCCTATCATCCTATCAGAAGCGAGTGGGTGGGGCTTCTGTACTTTACTTTACATCGATCCCTTAAAGAGAGAGAAACCATTTTGTCCCAAGTGAATAACCTTGCTTGCGAGACAGCAGGGCACCGTAGTAGGCATCTTTCTATTGACATTCCCGATAGACATCCCAATTGTATTAGGATTTTTAGTGGGTTTTCTCTTTATGGAACGCTATTAAACAAACAAAAAAAGAAAAGAGAAAGTGAAGCTGTGCTTTCTGAAACAAAGGATCAGATTTATTCCCCTCCAACAATGTGTTCTTGGAGTTTTCACGTTATTAACTTGGAAATTTTAGAGCTGAAGACACAAAACTGAAGGAATGAAAGGCTTGACTCCTTGTGGTCTCTCTGACACGAGTGCAAGACAGAATGCAGCCCCTGATTTGTAAGCACCCTGCCGTAACGCAAGACAAGTAAATAGAAATGACATTTCCTGAGCTTTTGGCTGCAATTCAAGAAAGCGTCCGTATTCAAGATACCACTTAAGTACTTGCTTAAGTCCCTTTGAAGTCAAAGACACTCAGCACATGCTTAAATGTTGTCCTGGATAAAAGAGGAATAAAGAGATTGGATACTAAAAATATGCAGGACTGGTTCGCCTCTTCAAGAATGTTGCCACCTAGCGTTCCACCACGAGCCACGGAGTCTACTTGGGTTTTGATGCTCACATTGCAGTGAATGCTCAGCCCAACTTAGCTAAATTGTACGGGCCGGGGAAATATTTCCTAATGGCCTATGAACAGGAAATTGTATAGTCTTTTTGCCTAAATCAGGATCAGATTCCTGTCTCGGTTTCTTACTCACAAATGGGGAAGTCCTGAGTGAACGACGGTGCCCCTTTTTTCCACTGTCGAGTGGAAGTGAAGTTGGTGCTGGTTTTCCATAATAGTCCATCTTTATTTACAAAATAAAGCCAGCATTTTACAAAATGACTCTTCCAAAAGAGCTGATGTCTGGGGTACGAGTGCTTAGAATGATATACAAGTGAGGGCCCGGAGAGAGTGGAACACCCAAAACCCTGAGTTACTCCCAAATTACAGGTCCCCTTTAACCATGTGTGTCTGTGTAGATTAGAAGGTAAAACTGGTTATAGGAGTGTCACTTAAACACACCTCTTTAAATATGTGCTTTGCACAGAAAATATTCTAACCGCACATGGTAATAGTGAAAAGGCTGATTCTCTTGAAGAACCATAACACTGCTGCTCATCTCTTGACGTTCCTTCAGCTCCAAGTTGAATTTTGCAACGATGCAACCTGACTTAGACGTGTTAGGGAACTTTGCATCTTTAGCAGGACATATTTCTTTCTTGCAGGTTTCCACTATAGAAGCATATAGAAGGGAGAGAACCTTTCACGCACATGTTTAAGCCAGCCTGTGTCACAGGTCTATCCATTCTTGATAGACTCTAGAAGTTACTTTAACTTCTAGAAGTGAAGACAGAAGTTTTTTTTTCCAGAAAGGCCTTGGTCAGTATACAGCCCAGGAAGCCAGTTGAACTCATATGCTCAGTTCAGTAAGTGCTGCAGCATTTGGCTAAGTTGAAACCGAAATTAAATAGGTCTTTCAGAGTAATTTCTACAAACGTCTGTGGAAACCCTTTTGGCTTTCTCACCAGTACATTCTGAAGAACTTTTTCAGATGGGAGAAGGTTTACAGAAAGACAACAGCAGTACAGGCCTTGACTGATCATTTGCAGAGCTTTTGGATTAATGATCACTGACCAAATCTTTCCTGGGCAGATGTTTGGTTCCAGTATGAAACCCTGATAATGTCTGTGAGTTGGTGGTGCCTTTGTGATTGAAAGGACCAACAAATTCCTCCAGACTGGGTGGCTTCCCTTTCTTTCCCTCCCTCCTGTTCTCTCTGATTTCATAAGCAGGCAGTAGCTAGACTGACAGTCTCACCTTGAAACTCTGAGGAGGGAGTTATCATCTCTCTTGTAGGTCTAGTGGCTCGCCATCTCTCTAGATATTAGGTGGCACCAGGAAAGCGGAAAAATATCGGCAGTCAAAGGTGAGCAAACCACTCACCCCACCGCGGTTTTATCTTGAGATGCGTTTTTCAGTCTTATGCACACTAAAGATTACCGGAGTCTAGCGTCTCTGCTGATTGCTGTCAAACAATGAGAGTCTGTTACTCTGTTGACATTCCTCTTAAAACATTAATGTATCAGGTGCCTTGATGCACAGTAAAGTGATTTAGAAATGTGGAACGCTGACACCCTCTTAATCACGTGCCTAAAACAAAGGTTGCATGAGAGCACAGCCGCTCTTTTGGAGACTGCTTTTCCCTTCTATGCCTGTGGTGCAAAATTTCCCATTTTTTTTAATTCAGGTAGGAAAAAAATCTGAAAGCAGAAGAAAGAGGGGGATTGCTTTGGAGAGGGAGTAGTCACAATGGACTTGGAGTCAGGACTCCAGGTTTCCATTCCTGACTGTCACTCACTCACTCGGGTGAGTCCGTTAACTTCACCGTGGCTCAGCGTCCCCCCCAACAAGTTGGACATGGCACTGCTGACACACCTCATCAGCATGTGCTGAGCTTTGCTTCATTCATTCTCATTCTCAAAGCATTTTGAGATCCCCAGGTGGCAGGTACTAGAGAAGGGCAGCATTTTCTTATAAGCAGTTTTGTTGCATCTTACCTGAAGAGCAGCAAGGTTGATAAGACGTTGCCCTCCATTCATTCAGTTCCTTTTCCTGTCTCCTCCGCTGTGGGCCAGTTCACCTGGAGGCAGAACAGAAGCAACCAATCCAGGTCCCACTGGGGAGGAAGATTGGACCTGACACGTTGACCGCTCAGGCCCTGGCCATGTGGACAGACTTGCCCCGAAACAGGGAACTTGGAGACAAAAGCTTCTGGAGCAACTGCATACAAACAAGCTGCTATCTTGAGAAGGAGTCACGCTGGATTGCAACCAGGATAACTTTTTCTGGGGGGAAGGGGGTAGCTTTGCTTGCCACTAAAGCAGATGAGAGCTTTAGGTCTTAAAGGAACCTACAACACAGCAGGGCATGTCTGTTCTCTCCCTAATTCTTCACGGCGGTTCCCTTAAACACAGGACCCCTAAGGGTCTTGAACACCCAGTCGGTGCTTAAATTGGACTCAAAGAGTATGTCTACGCTGCTTCCCAGGGCATTGCTCTCGAGCATGACTCACTCCTGCTCCACACATGCCAGCCCCAAAAATGAGCCGGCAAAGCCACCAGGAGAGAGCTCCCTCCTCTGCTTTTGAGATCTCGGTCTCTGCCTTGTCTCTGCCGCGCTTGAGAGCAGGTATAGGGGATGCCTTTAACTGCCGGCAGAGTGTATCAGCAGGGAGCCCTGTAGCTGTATCCTGTGAGACCAGACAGAGCCAGATTTCCACATTAATTATTGCTGTAAAAAAAACTACCTCATTTTTCTCTAATAATTTTAACTCCCTTCTAGGCAGTGTTCTCTGGCAGTAACCTGTAGTATTCTCTGTGTGGGGCCAGTTCCCATGCCAGCTTACCTATAAAAGCAGACCTTAATTCCTCTGTTTAAAATGCTCACTTGATTTTTGTGCACTTGGCCTCTCCACATTCATTCCAGACATCCTTGGGTGTAAAAAGAATATGTCATTCTCTAGGGAGAGCCCTGAACATTGCAAAGCATGTCTTGAAAGTTGTAGGGTTTGAGGAGTTGATCCAAAGCCTACTGAAATCAATGGGAGTTTTTCTGTATTGACACCAGGGGACTTGGGTCCAGACCACTTCTGTGGAACTCAGTTGTGCTTTTTGATAAAGGTACCCTGCCTGGAGCTCCGTGTTCATGCCCCAAAACCAGATAGCCTGTGCCTTGACAAATGCACATGTGAGTTCAAATGAAGATGCAAAGTAGACATGGCAAGAGGTGAGGTGCATCAGCATTGTCCTGCTCCACGTACTTTCCTTTTCTCTGATCTTTGAAAGTGGATGGGCAATGCTGACAGACCAGGGTGCCACTCAGAAAAGTCTGGAAAAGCCTGATAATGTCTCATTCAGGAAAAAGTAGGTGTTTCCCTCCTGCCTGTACTCGTGTTCATATAATCACTTAATGCAGCCATGTGGTCAGGCCTAGGGTTATGAGGCAGCGTCCAGTCCTGATTTGGTACATTTTTTCTGATGTAACCTAGAGTTTTCCTAATTGGTCTTGTTCTCCGTCTTGCAGTTTCTAATGATATCATGTTGGTTTAGATATAGAATATAGGTTTCCATGAAAATCCAGTTTATTGCTCCCCACATATTTACATCAGACCTTTTTTGTTTCAGAAAAAATCAAAAATATATATTGCTTTTTGCTACTAACCAGACTAACTAAAGCAAAAGCAAGATCTTAGCATTGCTCAGCGTGTATGAAGGTATAAAAACCTCACGTGTGTTTGGCGCACGGTGCTATATTTCATGCATGTAGATGTGCACGTATCAAGATCGATGTTTTTGAGTTTTCATTGTTCCATACTTGTGCCTCTTACGAAAATCCGAGCGTGACTGAAGTGAAGTGAAATGGTTTCCTTTGATGGGTGGCTCAGGGGTATATATGAGAGATGGGCCTGGGCTGCAAAATCTGGAACCACGTGGTGGGTATGATTTTTTCAGAGTTGGGAGGATGGGAGGCAGGGGTTGCTTTCTGGTGATAGTGGGTGGCCATTAAAAACTGGGGATAAGCTGGGGATTGGATCAGTCTGCTGGCGTTTGAGGTCTGTGCCCATTTCTAAATATCGTCATCTCTAGCAAGCCCAAGAGCTGCTACGTTGACACTCTGGGTAGAGAAAGAAGGCCTGGATGGGTGGGTAACTAAATTGTAAGGCACCCACCCCAGAGTGATACCAAGGGCAGGGAGGCCACGGTGACTTCTGCCCAGCCAGGACTGGCGATCTAGCAGGCCCTTGCTTCTTCCAGGAGCCTCTTGAACCATACACAATTCAGGAGGGTGAAAGGAGATCAGTAACGACCACTCAGTGCTACAGCTCTTCCAGACCCCTCTGCAGGAGGGAGCTGCATGGGGGAATAGCTGTTCTTAGATCTTGTTATTTCCCTGGCTTGTAAAGCTGTCTGTCATTGGTATACCACTAAACAGGCCATTTTGCAGGAGCCCGTCTCTTCTGTATTGATACTAGCTTTCTTGTACTTTCCTGATCTACTCCACTTCTTCCAGTAATGCCTGTGGCCTGATCCTGTTAACCTGAGTGCTAGCTGCCTGCACAACCTCTTATGTCCCATTGCAGATGGCACCATTCATAGTTATAAACCTAAAGCCTAAAGTAGAAACAACAAGTACCCATTTCTACTGCCGTTGCACATACAGCTGCCACTCCGTCTTCAGTGGGTTTGAATGTGGAAGGGATGTGGACTGCAGTATGAACAGAAAATAGCTAGCGTCTTGGGAGGTCTCTTCTGTGATGCTAAGCGCAGAGGAGTGGAGCAAAACAGGACAGTAATGATGGTAAATCCACAGGGCTCCTGTGCTTCCACGACTTAAACCAGTCTCAGCAAGGATATTCTTTTCTGAGTCTGTATGAAGGCTCTAATTCTGTATCAATAATGGGAATGAGTCTCTGGTATCTTGGGCCAGATCCTATTCTGCCCCTTAGGTGTCTAAGTGCATTCCTTCGCCACCTTGCTCGAACCCCTGAGAAACCATTACGCTCTATTTTGGTCATCCTACCCTTAAGACTAAGTCACAAAAGCATAAAGAAGAGGAAGACCCACCTGCCTTTTCTGTAGAAGAGGAGCATACTTAGATGCCTACATACCACTTAGATGCCTGATAGATGGGCTGAGATCTGGCATCTGAATCTCACGTCTGCTTAATCCAAACCGTGAGCTGAAAAGAAGCAACTTGTTCTCTGCAAACCCAACCAGGTTTGGAGAAGCATGTAACCTGTCTTCCTTTCAGAATTAGAAGAATCTCCCTTAACTGTGAAGAGCGACATGGCCACTATCGTCAAGGTTATGCAGTTACCTGACTCAGGCCTCGAAATCCGAGACAGGATGTGGTTGAAAATTACCATCTCCAATGCAGTAATAGGTAAGGCGTTCACAGGGGTGCTGTAGAGATCACCTAGCCTTTTATTAGGGAGAGACTGGCTTTTAGAGCCATTTGGAGTGCCTATCCCACCACCATGTGTTTTATGTGGGAAGGAATCTAGTCTTGAGGGAGGCAACAGCTCTAGTTTTGAACCTGGGTGGGCAAAGGCTAGGCAAGCTTCTATGCCCAGTATCCCATTGCAGCTTGCCCCTTACTCTCTCTGTTCCAGTCCTGTGTCTGCATGCTCTGGCAAAGCCCCACTGTCCAGAATAGCATCACTTCCTGCCGTTCCAGTCCCAAATATCTTTCCGTTCTGCCAAGGCATCTCAGTCATGGCAGAAATTACCTGCCTTATTGTAGCCTTGAGTAGAGACTGCCTAGAAAGACAGTGGCATGGCAGTTTTCCACGCACAAGCCACTTTTAAAATATCAGAATATTAGTCAAATATGTGAATATTAATTGAATATTGAATATTAATTGGTACTCCCAACTGTTCATCGCTCCCTAAACTGGTGCCTGGTGGTAATGGCAGCACCTAGAGCTGTGTCCCGCTGCATTTCAAGGTTGAGTCAAATGAAAAGTGGTATGAAAATATGCTCTTAAGGTCTTGGGGTTCTTGTGCTTTGTTTTTGTAGTCCCTAGCCCAAAGGCATGGTGACCTGGATGAAGCACGGATGCTTTGTGATAGACAAGGGTGATAGGAAGATGAACGTTGTCTCGACGGCTGGAGGTGACTTTCAGATGATTCTCTCCCTCTCCTGTCTGTGCACCTACAGGGGCAGATGTGGTTGACTGGCTTTACACGCACGTGGAGGGCTTCAAAGACCGACGAGAGGCTAGAAAATACGCCAGCAGCATGTTAAAACATGGCTACCTCAGGCACACTGTGAACAAAATCACCTTCTCGGAGCAGTGCTATTACGTCTTTGGGGACCTCTGTGGCAGTAAGTTCCTCACCGGTGAAGGGCAGAGCTGTGGGGAGGGGGGTTCACAGGTGTGTCTCTGAGACCAGCGATCTCCTTCCCTCCCCAAATCAAGCGATCTCTCCATGAGATAAACATTTGGGTCACCTGGGCAGAAAGGGTGGGTCAGTCTTGAAACAGGGCAGCTGGATGGGACTTAGGAGACCTTGGCTATGCTGAGTCACCTTGGGTCTCAATTCCCAAGCTTATTGCGGGTTACAGTTTCCCCCAGTGAGGATAATATTTCCCGTTATCCAATATAGTGTTTCTGTGGCAAGGGCATTCTACCCTGATCCACCAGGGTTGGGCTTGATTAATCACATGGATGGTACTACAAAGCCCCATTTTCTTTTTTTTTTTTTCTTTCTTTTTCCTTGGAAATAGGTGGGTAGTAAATTGGAGGGACACCCTGTTACTGAGATGCTGAACAGAAAGATCAGAATGTCTCTGGGGGCAGTTGGCAAACCTCGGTTGAGAGGATCCATGGGTTTGCAAAGCCAGGCTGATAGCCTAATAAAAACACGCTTTCTGAGGCATCTGGTCCAGTCTGTGTCTGATCAAGTTAGAGGTGTCTTGAGAGCAGCCTCTGTCATAATATTTTGGCACTTCCTCTTCCAGCTGTGACCTGAAAGTTCAGAGACTGCACAAAGATCTGATAAGAAATAAGTTAATTGGCCCTTTCCTGATCTAGAAGAGGGCTTTACCCAGTGTAGTTCAGGGGGATTCCAAGTCATGTAACCCATCCCTTGATGTTCGTTGGCAGTTTGTGAACTCCAGTTCTCTGAAAACTTGGAGCAAGGCTTCCAGAAGGACATGTGCACAATTCTGTGCTTCATTTCTCAGTTCTCAGTGGTGGCAGATGACAGAACAAGAAGCAATGCTCTCAAGTTGCAGCAAGGGAAGTTTAGGGTAGATATTAGGAAGAAATCTCTTACTAGCGGGGTAATAAAGCGCTGGAACAGAGAGGTGGTGGACTCTCCATCCTTGGAGGTTTTTAAGACCCAGGTAGACAAAGCCTTGGCTGGGCTGATCTAGTTGGTCCTGCTTTGAGCACGAGGTTGGACTAGATGACCTCCTGAGGTCCTTTCCATGGTGCTGTGATTTCCGTACACGTTTGCTCTGGTTGCTTCATTTCATTGACCTGCCCAAATGGTTGTTTCCACAAGTTGCACATCAAACTGCATTGATGAGTAATGTGTACATAGTGGAAGTGTGCAGCTGTGTGCATATTTTTGCACCTTCAGCTGTGCACGCAGGTTTGAGAAAACCTGAGGCTCCAGGTTAAGTATTCCTGCCTACTCTATCATGTACAGTATTTTGACTGAACTGCTGAAACAAAGTCCCAGGCCAATGCACTGGTTGTCACGGTGCATGATGATGGTACCGGGGTCTTAGCTGCTATGGGAAAGCACTGCCCTCAAGTTTCCTTTCTCTCTGCAGATATGGCTGCCTTGAACCTCAACAACGGGTCAAGCGGAGCCTCAGATCAGGACACTCTTGCTCCACTCCCACATCCTGCTGCACCTTGGCCATTAGGCCAAGGGTATCCCTATCAGTACCCACTCCCTGCTCCATGTTTCCCACCAGCATACCAGGACCCGGGCTTCAGCTATGGCAGTGGTAGTGCGGGTAGCCAGCAAAGTGAAGGTAAGCTTTTGAGTTGTGCATGCGCTCTTACAGCTCCCATTATTCCTGGCCATTTGCTTGATTTCCTAAGTCCTGTCTGTGCTCCCTTCCTTGTGGTTTTGTGTGCTGCATGAGTGGATTTGGTGCGACTTCATTGAATCAAGACTCTCTTTGCAAATGCGAGGGAGTGGCTTAGCCTTTCAGCCCTGCATTGGAACTGCCAATGACGGTCTAATTGAGCCCACGCAATATGCTATCTGTATAGCTATGCCACAGCTCAGCACACCACACCACATGCAGGGGGGAGCTAGACACAATGCTGCTTGCCATGTCCAATGTGGCATGGGTGTCTGTACCTTTCCTACCCCACAGCATCTCATATGAGTCTGTAGCACTCGCCTATTGCTAATTAACCAAACAAATGATTCAGTCCTCACCTGTGAAGTAGGTATGGAAACATCTTTGCTGCCTCTTTATCAGAGGGAAAACTAAGGGCCAGGGTGGGGGGACACCTGGTTTTCAGAGGTACGAGTCACTGGAGGGGTGTTGAGACCATTCAGCTTTACTTCCACTTTGGGAGTCTGTGACTAAACTGGAATGAGCATTGTGGCTTTTGGCTTCCTCTTCCCTGCTCAGTGCAGAAGGGATGTTCATGTCTCCTTTTTGCATGAGACCAGCAAGAAGGGTGCTCTGCTCTCTGGAACAGCCAGTTCTGAAAAGCCATGTAGTGGGGAGCAGAGCAGCTTCGGCAATTGCGCTCTAATGCACACCATGCAAGTTGGATGCACTGACTTCCCCCTTTTCAGCCCCAAGACCCCCTTACCACTTCGCTTCTGTGAGCACCATAACAAAATAAGTCTCTTGCACAACTAGAGGAGGCCCTGTGGTTTCAGTGTGAATGCTGCTCTTGGCAACGCTGCCAGTGACAAACAGCAAGGCTCTCTAGGAGTCTCCAAGTTTGGGTATGAATTTTGTTATTAAGGTAAAGAGCCAGTCATTTGGATGCAGCCCGTTCAGATATAACTTTGCCACTTTGGTTTTGCAAAACCAAGCTGACAGTCCCATCAAAAGAGCCGTCATGGGATTTCCAACATTTCCACATTCATCCTCAGTTAGAAACAAGAAGTGTGTCTGGTAGAGAAACCAAGAGCGTATCTCAAGGTTACAGGACTTTAGCCAGTCACATCATGCCCACCCTGCCTCTTGGGGTGTGATTTTTTCCTCATCCACTTCACCAATCCCTGTGAGTAATCCAGTATTAGATCCTTGCTGCTGGAGTAGGAAAGGTACAGTGTTTTCCCCATGCAGCTTGGGCTACCAGCTAGGAGATCCTTGTGCAAGGCAACGGGAGTGTCTCGTTTTGAAGGGTTGGACTCTCCTTGTTCTTCTTTTGGAAACTGCGCTGCTGTGGTGTTTCTTGTTTTGTAACTGTGTTATTCCCTTGTTTTGTTCTGAGCAAGCATTAGACTGAAGGATTCATAGAGGAATGGCTGTCTCTAGGGGATTGGTAAGCTTCAAATGCCTCCATAATAATGACTCCATAGCATGATCATTTAGACTCTTGTGACCCCAATGTGTAGTTGTTTCCTTTTTCTCCTGTTTTTTTTCTGATTGTCATAGGTGCTCTGCCTGTCCCAGTGCACAGTACCCTAGTCCCATGGCATTAACAAAGTCAGCTGCCCCCTGTGGAGAGGCCTTGATGTGCGACTGAGGCACAGCAGTCCTAAAGGGATGGCACCAGACACCTCCCTGTCAGCATACAGACTTGGCAATTGTGTCCTTTATCACCCTTGTTATGTCACCTTACAGATTGCAGCGTCCTGCTGTATTAGTCCTGTAAACTGCTTCTGGAATAGAAATATCCACCAGTGTGCTACATTTGCACTTCCACTGGCTAGCACTTGAGTGTTTTGCAGTGACCCGAGATGTGCTGACTGCTGGACCCAATACAGAATCCCTCTGTGCTGGGCATTTAGAAATCAGAGATACAGGACAGTGGAAGAACATGAACTGGGCATCAGATTATCTTTTCTTTTTAGCCCCTCTCTCCGTGACACAGTGGATCCCTTGTACAGCAGCTCTGGGTCCCCCTGGGTGTGCACTATTCACTCAGGACAGAATTCCTCTGGTACGGAAAGGCACAACTCTACATGTGCGAGGAGATGTGCCTAGTCATTCGCAGCCTCTCATGTCCTAGAGCCAAATATAGCAAATTTCTAACTGATGCCAGACAAAATCCTGAACTCTTGAGAGGTTCAGGGTAGGAGAAAAGGCTGGCAATGAGGCTTAGGTCCTTTTCCTAATTGGCGTGACAGCTTGGGTCGATGTCCATTTAGTCTGAACATGACACTGTCCCTCCTGGTGAGACCCAGGGTGCCTGTTTCTCCTTTATGGAAGGTCTGGGCCCCCTGCAAGGAAAAGCAGCTGTGTGATGAGACCCACTAGAAATCCCCATTTGTATTAGGGAAGCACTCAGAGCCTTAAAGCACCATCAGGGCTCCATTGTGCTGGGCACCATACAGATAAGAAGTGAGAGTCAACCTCTGCCCCAAAGGCCTTGCAGTCTAGAGAGACAAGAAAAAGGGCAAGAGGGAAAATAAAGGCCCTGAAGGTGAAGGGACGTGACAAGCCAGTGGTCAAGCAAGAAACAGGACATGGCATTCCAGAGTCCTAATCCAGTTGCCCCAAGGGCACATCTGGACTGTTTCTGGTGCACCCAGGGAGGGCTGCTCTCAAGCAGGCCTTGCTGGGTTTTGCTCACACACACCAAACCTGGAAATGCAGTAGCAGGACCACTCCAGGGGCTTCCTACAGCTATGGAGACGGGAAGTGACATGCTTGAGTGCCAGGAAAACAGCATAAGCAATCAGGACTCGTGGTAGAGGTGATATCTTGTATTAGACGAGCTAGATTTTTGCAAAAAAATGTTTTTAATTGCAGGCTTTTGGGCACAAACACCCTTCATCAGGCATAGGAAAAAACATTCTTTAGAATTGTAGAATTGTAGAAAATGAGGGGCTGAAAGGGACCTCAGGAGGTCACATTTAGTCCAACCCCCTGCTTGGAGCAGGACCAGCCCCAACTAGACCATCCCAGCCAAGGCTTTGTCTAGCCGGGTGTTAAAAACCTGGAAAGATGGAGATTCCACAATCTCTCTGGGTTGCCTGTTCCAGTGCTTTACTACCCTCCTAGTGAGAAAGGTTATACATTTAAAAATACTGAAATTGATTGTAAAAAAAGTTCTCTTGGGTAGAAATGAAAGTTCATATTTCATAGGAGAGTTGAAGGTGCAGTAAAATCTCCTGTTTGGAGCAGTTCATTTTATGGGAAAACAACATAGACACCCCAGAACGGGTCGTCTTCCCCAGCCTTCCCCCGGCTACCCCAAGGGGCAATTCCCAGGGCATTTCAGAGCCTGCATGGTTTAGGAGGCAGAGCGGTGGAGTTGGTTGTGCGTCTGATTGTGACTGATCATCTCAGTCATGGCAGAGTAAAACGCAGCTTTTGTCAGCTGCTGGAAAGCAAATTCTTTTCAACTGAAGATGTCGGTTTAATATGGGCCTTTGAGACAGAAAATGCTGACACAGCTGTGCACATAGCACAGCTTTTAGGCTGAGCTGTGTGTCTTTAAGTTAGACCTTTCCCAGCTACCAAACATACAACAGTATCATCAGAAGGGCTTTAAAAACAAAGATCAGGAAGACTTATCTTCGGCAGGATGCTTGTTCTTCTGCAGGGTTTAAAAGCATGCAAGAAATGGATCCAGTCCAGTGTGCTACTGGTATGTTGAGGGGCGACAGAGGCTGAGCAGCTGCCTTTGTTCTCTTCTGCCTTAGTGACCGATTTCTTACCTTCTGTGGCTTTGCAGTCAGTGGAGGAATCCAGGTTTCTTTGCAAAGGAAAAGTGGAGTGCACCCATTTACCTTCTGGATTAATCGCTCCTCACCTTGACCCTGGGAAACTTAGGTCAATTAGAGACACTGCTCCAGGCGCTTGAAGAGTCTTGACTATCGGGGGAATGGGGCCCAGAGCCTGTCCTGACCCGGCAGAGTTCTTGATGCAGGAAAGTCTTAGATCAGCGTCAAGCTCTCCGCCTCTCCGCCGGGCTCTGAAACCTGCCAGGAGCTTATACCTCTGGGGAAGCCGCAGCAAGGAGGATAGAAGTGAGGCAAGTGTGGATCCGAGAGGCAGCAGGGGGATCACTTTGTAGCAGATGGTTTGCTATAGCTCAAAGGCTCATGTAACGTGGGGACTCTCTCCTGCTGCACATAGTGACCCAGTGCATTGGGATTTCTTCCTGTCTGGGCGCATATTGATACTTATATAAAGCAGCTATGGGAGAAGCTGCGCAGTAAGATTTGTGTGGTGGTTGCTACCAATCAGATGGTGATGGGCACAGAGCCCGTTCAGGCTGAGATGAGTTATAACAACTGCTTTGCGGTAACTCTCTCTGTCACTCTTGCGTCTCTTCTGCCTGGAGGGAAGACTGAAACAGTCAGCCTGTTAATGACTAATTATGATCCGCTGTCTATCTTTATTAGATCATTACGAGAGGTTTGATGCTAAAGCTCAGGATTTAGGTAGGGCTGTGTGTTCTCAGAAGGCCTCCCTGCCACTGTGAGATGGCTGAATAAACGTGGCTATCCCCACCAACAGATGGGGGAACTGAGGCCCAGGGCCTGAAAGATCCTTGCCCAAGGCAAAGAGGGAGCTTGTCTAGATTAGAATTGGTTTCAGTCTCAAACCACAAACCCTCCCTGCCTTCCAGGAAGGACCATTTCAGGTTTTGTGGTTTGCTTGTACCACAAACCTCTCCTGCCCTCTACAAGGAAGGGTGAGTTCTATCACCCATACCAAGCCAGCCTGGTTTTCCCTTTCTTCATATCCTTTGCTTGTCTCTTTGCACTATGATACCATAAGCAGAGGAAGATATATCGTAGCAAGAGGGGCATCTTTTGGTCCCCTCCTCCTCCTTCTCCAGTGCTGAGAGCAGTCTGATGACCCAGTGCAGTAGCAGTTGTTCATTTGAATCCAAAATCTGGCCCAGTGTTAGGAAATTGTGTGTGAATGCAACAGCTTTAATTTAAGTTGGGAAATTAGTCCCTAGTGGAGAAACGGATTTAATATGGAAGTGCCTATTTGCGTTACGATCCCACGCTCATCCCACTGATTAGCTGAGCACCACCTGATCCCAACCCTACATAGCTACTCGCACGCACTGATGTGCACGTACACGGCAGGCATTATGTTTGGAAGGGTGTATAGCAGCTTCTGCTGGGAACATCCTTCCAGACTTAAAAGAAATGTGTTTCCCTAAAAACCACAATCTACCTGCAGTTAGTGCAGCCACAAAACACTTCAGTGATGAGTTTTGTAGGAATCTGCCTTTGCCCCATTGAAGCAAATACAAGGACTCCTGTTGATTTGGGGTGAGATCCAAGTCAGGTCCTTCAAGCAACCAGACACTGATGTGGGAGAAACCTTTCTTTCTGATGCAGTGGTTCCAGTAGAAAACAGCTGGCCCCTGTTTCAGGGGTCTCGGGCAGTCTGAGCCTGGAGTCGGTCACAAAGTCACGTTGAACCTAATTCATTTTTTATTTTAAATGTCCGCCTGCCTCCTTCCCTTTCAGTCTCTTCCCTCTCTCTGCACTGGTGTCTGGCCAGTGGGGAAGCAGCGAGCGGATGACTTTCCGGCTGCAGGCTTACACTGAGCCACCGCTTTCCACGTGCGATCTCCGGAGGGGTTGATGTGTATCTGCGCATGGCACAGCCTTGTCAGCTTCATTCTAGTGGTTGTCATCGCTGAATCCTTTAGTCATCCATAGCACGCTAAGCTTGACAGAGGCCTGACCTCCTCATTGTTGCTGTGCTGGTCGTTGTCATCATCGTGCATTTGATTCTGTAGGGTTGCAAGAGGAGCTGACGGACGAGGCGGGAAGGAAACGGGATTGAACTAACCCTCCCCTTCGGTTCTGTCCCTTTTGCTCGCCCTCGCAGGAAGCAAGAGCAGCGGCTCCAACCGAAGCAACAGCGAGAACAGCAGGAGGGCTCTCGGCAGGGAGAAGGACCGCAAGTCAGCCGGCAGCGGCAGCGAATCTGACCACACGGCCCGCAGCGGAGGGGGAGCCAGCGGTGTGCGGCGCGAACGGCCCGTCAGCCAGCTCAGCCACCGGAGTCACGCCTCTGCCGCCCACAGCGAGCGAAGCCACCACAGCCACCATTCGTACGGGCCTCCAGGAGTGCCCCCCCTCTACAACCTGCCAAAGCTCGGCTCCAAAGTCTACGGGACGAGCGGACCCCCCGGAGGGCCTCCCGTCAGAGAACTGAGCTCCGTGCCTCCAGAGCTGACGGGGAGCCGGCAGTCCTTCCAGAAGGCTATGGGCAACCCTTGTGAATTCTTCGTTGACATCATGTGAGAGGAAGTGCCTTCAGACTCTACTTTTCAGGGGGAGGGGGTTTGGTTTTTTTCGGTTGGGTTTTTTTGGTCGTTGTCAAACACTTTCAGAAAGAAACCTAGGATGTCTTGCATGTAACACCTCCCTGACTCGCCATCGTGTTGCAAAAAAGAAAAAACAACCCCACAAAACAAAACAAAAAAACCCAACAAAAAACAAAATGAAAAATCAAACAAAAAAAAAATCTCCTGGGATTGTTAAATATCTGCAAATCAGTAGTATCTTTTCTTTCCTCTTTCTCTCTCTTTTTTTTTTCCCCCCTCCTTCCCTTATTTTTTTGATTGTGAGCGACTCACTGGTGTATATTCACATTCTAATGAGCTTTGGTAATTGTGGCACCAACTTCCAGTGCAATTTAGTGTCTACTTGGTTGATTCAAGGAATATTATTTCATATCACTTCTGAATTTCCAGCAATGCATAGGAGCACCTTTATTTTATTTTATTTTTCCTCTCCCTCTACTGGAAACAGTGGCTACCGGCTCTTATGGTTCATTTCCCTATGATATCTCTCCGTTTAATATATCAACTCCACAAGCAGCTGTGACACCTGAACGTGTGTGGGTAGTGTGCCCTTGCAAAGGGAACAGGCTTGCAGCCAGTTCCCGGCACTAGGCAAAGATGTGACCGGAGATAAAGCCTTATCTTCCTCCGCTGACCAAGGAGTATAATTGTCTTTCACCTTGTTGAGTCTCTCCCATCCCGGGGAACGGTGGATCCTGCTACTTTGCGTCTTCACTGCGTGGATCAACTATGCTGTCATTTAATTTAATGTCCTGGTGGTGACCCTAGAGCTGCGGGCTGTCAACAGGCATTTCAGTGTCCCCTCTGCTAACAGGCATATCCGTTCTTGTCGAGCTGTAACGTGCACTTCTTGCTTTAAAAGTTCTTTCCACAGAAATGGGACGGTTGCCGCTAGCTGGTTACGCTGGCATAGATGCAGCATTTTTCAGGGGAGAGTCGTCATGTTCCAGAGGAGGTAAGGAGGGACCGTAGCGGTGCTGCTAATTGTGATGGCTCCCTTTTCTTCTTTGATTCTGAAAAAGATCTGCCTTCCTTTCTCCCTTCCCTGCTTCTCCTTTACAGTGAAAATAAAGCCCGGATTTGGCCTTTTCCAATGGCAGCATCTCCAAGCAGCCAGGTTCTGGCAGGGCCAGCGAGGGAAACATTGTTGGAACAGCATGCAAACAATAAAATGAACGGTTATTTGTATGCGACACATAGCAAAACCTGTGCTAAGGATCCCTTATCACTAGGCAGCGTTGTCTTTGTCGACTGCTCTTGTTTATCCCCCAACGTTTCAGCCCTCTGTTTGACTTCCAGTTGAACCCCGCCTTTTCTAGCAAGCTGCTCCTGATGGTTTCTAGGATAGATGCTTCAGATCAGACTTCCCCCTGCACATCGAAGGCTTTCCCCAAGTAAGAAGGTCCCTCTTGCCGCGTTTTTTTACGTTGTCGGTATCGGTGCATAGTCAGCAAGTCGGAGGAGAGCGCCTGCTGCTGTCTACGGCTGTCACGACATTTTCCCTTGTTACCCTGATGCAGCACTTGGGGTGTCATTCAGCCAAGTGTGGCTTCCCCTGGGTCTTGGCTTGTTTGCTTTTGCTTTTTGTGGGTTTTCTCTGTGCATTTGTAAAAGAAGAGAGGTGACGCTTGCAAAAGATCCCAAATCACTTTGAGGCCAAAGTTGGTTAAACAGTGCATTGGGCGTTTGGATCCTAAGCCCCACTGAACCAAGGGCCAATGCCGCATTCATATATATAAGACTTTGAGCCGGGTCATGCTCCACCTATTGGGTACCCAAGTATGATCCTATTCTCCCTGCTCAAGTCCCTGCTAGTAGAGAAGTTGGGCAGGTCCTCCTCCTCACTGCTTTGGTGGGACTTAGGTTTGAGGCTGAGATGACGTTGTGTTGCAAAAGCAGATGCAGTAGGATTTTCAGGGTCTCTACAGGATGCAGTAGGATCTCCCATAGGCACCTGGTAGGTGGAGTTCGATCTGGCCCTTAGGCTTCAAAGTCATTTGAATGCTTTTGAGAAGTTACCTGGGAAGGTAACATGTCTGGAATTGCCACTTTCCTCACAACTCATCAAAGCTGCTGACGGCCTCTGTGAAATCAAAGGAAACTTTTGAAGACTTGAGCTGTGGAGCAGCCTCCTTTTCCTTTCTTTTTCCACTTGGAAATGGCACAAACATGAACTAAACGCTGAATTCAGTTTGGCGAGATCAGACTTGAAAGCAATCAAAGAAATCAGGGTCAGTCATCCCTTGCGTTGGATGCACCCCCAGCAGGCACTGGAAAGGAGGCTGTGGCTTTAATGACAATCTCTAGCGGTTCTGCCTTTAAGCCAGTTGTTATTTCTCCATTCCCTAATTTATTATCATTATCTTTTTCAATTTGGCCTTTTCTTAGGGAAAAAATATGGGGGCAGATAGACGAGAATTGTGATACTCCTCTGAAGGGGTAGTTAGAAGAGAATGATCAGGACCGGGCTTTCATCCAGGAAGCCGAACGTATTAAATGTCCATGTCAGGAGTTGCAGTTTAGATACTTGCTGTTGGTGGGGTGGGAGGCGTATTTTTGGTTCTTTTTCCTTCTTTTCCTTTCTTTTTTCTGTTGTCGTTGTAGTACGTGCTGTTGGCAGAAAAACTGTTATGTGTCTTGTTGGCCTTTGCTGCTACGTTGAAAAGATTGTGTTATGTATTACTGTGTGGGAGGGGGGTATCTCTGGAAGGAGGCTGATGCAGCCCATACTGCAGGCATGGGAAGGTATTCATCTGCTGAGGGATATTTAAGCTCCCAAGCTCTCTTCTGGTTGTGAGTTAGAAATCAACCCGGTTCTGATCAACTTGGCTCCAGCTGAGACCATGCACGCAGGGTCTGCTTGGCACCGCACGTGCTGGCAGACACACAGGTTACTGAATAGCACGTAGAAATTCTCTTCGCTGGAGACCAGCGGGAGAACATAGACACACATTTGATGAACAGTGCAATATGTAATGGCCACGGTGTATAGTACACAGGGCCTGACTCTCCTCACCTTACCCTGATATAAAGCAGATTATCTCCACTGAAGTCAGTGCACGTGCCAATGCATGTCAAGCACGAATGAGGCCCGTGAAGTCACTTAACTTCCGTGAAGGATGAGAGAGGATCTCTCTCAAATCCTTCCAATGCCTTTAAACGCAGACCAGTTGATCTGTGCCGTTCGGGGGCCTTGCAAACTGGGCAGGCGGGCGCTGCGGATGCGAGGAGGCTACTTGCCGTAGTAAGTTCTGTGAAAGGTGGGAACACTGTGAACAGATGGGGCCTTTCCGGGAACATCTCCTTCTTAGCAGGACTCGCTGTAATGTGCTCCCTTCAGGTCAGGGGGCTGGTGCTAGCCCGACTCCAGGAATGTATCTTGACCTGTCCTGCTCTGCTGCAGTGGGACGTAACAGGCTTGCCTTTCAAGGCACTTGCAGGTGTGACACCAAAAGGGCTTCACAGGGCAAGCTGACCTCATAACAGGAGCCTTAAAGAGAGGAGAAGCTTTTTAATCCCGGAAAGGAGAGCTAAGAAAATCTGTCTGTGGACTGCCACTGGACTCACGCTGTTGTTCCTTCCTTGGTGCCAGCAGCAGTGACTAAAGACAAGGGTGCACTTTGTGGCCTAGAAAACATGCATGTGCTAAGGGTTTGGGGTGATGCCTCCTACTTGAATGTCAGGGTAATGCACCCACCTAATGTATTAACTTTCTAAGGAATAAGTTATTGGCAAATGGTATTTTATAGTCTTAAAGGCACCGCTGCTGTCTTTTGACCTTCTGTTATCACATTTGCTTTTCAAAGGAAATAGTCCCTGGACACTTTATCCAAAGGCATATTGGATTGCAAACAATGATGCACAGGCATTGACTTTTGATATATATATATATTTTTTTTTTTGTTCTTGTCAAATTGACGGTCCCATCTTGAGACTGACAGCTGATGAGTTGATGTAACTGTTTTTGTTTTGCATTTAACTGGATTGTAATAAGATTGACTTTAAAAAATTATTAATTCTAATCAGTGATTAGAAATATGTGTAAAGAATTTATGTACAGTAGAGGGGGGGGGAAAAAGTAAAGCGATTTTAAATAATGAAAACCCAGACTATCACCTATTCTAGAATTGGTTCTACTCAAAGAGTGACCTTTTACTAGCATGGACTGCACTGTTCCTGTTAAATGTCTATTGCATAATTGAATTCTTTTTTTTGTAGATATTGTATTAAAGCCCAAGTGTCTGTATAGTTAATATATAGCTGCTTATGTGTAAATGCTATTTTAAACACTAAAAAGCTTTTAATTTTATGTGACAACTGCACCCCGTGTCTTTCCTTGCTTGATGTCGACGGCGATTCTTTGCAGTTCTGTAGCACCTTCCCTCTAAGGATCTCAAAGCACGAGCGAAACCTCGAGGTCCTCTGGTTCCTGAAGAAGGTAAATATTATGTTTGTTTTACAGGAGAAAATAAAGGGTTACAAGAGGAGGGACTGGGGATTCAGGAGCCTTGTATTCTCTTGTCCTTTCTTGGGGGTGTTCGCTCACTGAGGTGTGTGCCCTAAGAGCCACATTAATGCTTCCGTAGGGAAACTGAGGCACAGAATGATTGCATGAGTTGCCTGGGAGGTAGGAATACAAGCCAGGGGCCTTGGTTGTATCCAGTCAAGGTTTGGACCCCAGTGAGTATTGGCAGTGAAGAGTAGCTCTGAATATCTGGCCCTGAGCTTATAACCAAGGGGTTTGTTTCCCCATTAAAAAAACGGATGGGTTGGCTTCATTAGCATAACACCGCCCTCTTCACACACCTGCCTTCCCCAGCTGTAGGGTGAGAGCTAAGCACTTGGGAGTTGGGGTGAGTGGGAAAGAAATGTTGAGCTCCCTGGTCAAAGGAGCCCTCAGCCCTGGGCCCAGCGTGCAGCAAGGCGCGATGGAGAAATGGCTCCTGGCTCCTTCCAGGCTGTTGCATCCAGAGTTGCAGGTGCAGCTGCCAGCGCACACCTGCCCTGGGCTCTGTGCACCAGCTCCAGCGTTCAAGGATCCCAGCCACAGCCCGAATGCACTCTGGGCATAGATCAGCCTGTCTGTCGGGCCTGGAATGTGGGAATGGGTTTCCTCGGGCCTGGGTGGCAGCAGCGTCCCCCAGCTGGACTGTGGAGGGTGTCCTGCCCAGACTGCAGCATGGGAATGGCTCTGGCCCTCATGGGACCCTGAAGAGCCCCAATAAGCACCTGCACAGATCATCCTGGGCCCCGTCCCTAGCTGGGCTCTCGGATCTCCCCTGTTCTGTCTCTAAGCTCTCCTTGCCTGCGCAGGGCAGCTTGCACAGCTGCTGTTTCTCCGCTTCCCTGGCTTGTCACCTTGTCTGCCTGGCTCTGCAGCCTGCCCTGGGCATCCTAACGAGGCTTAGACTGAGTCCACCTGGCCCAGCCTGGGGCTGGGAGCAGGTGAGTCCAATTAGCTGAACAGCCCCGTCAGCTGCAAGCAGAAGGGGCACTGTTCTCTCCCGGATGTACACTGCCAGCGTCCGCAGAGCGGCACGAACTCTGCCTTCCCTCTTTCAAAAATGGGAGCCAAGCTGCCGCATTTGCTACGGAGCTGCACAAACCATTGCCCTTGTCTACTCACCGCAGCACATTCGTGAGCATCTGGTGCAGCAACTAGGGAGGGGACTTCCACCCAGATTCTGCTACCTTTACTCACCGTGAGTAGCCTGTTACTCCATCTTGCACGGCTTTGCACATACGCACCTACCTGCCGAGGAGAGCTTCATGTGCGGGAAATCAGGAGGGAGAGCTGTGCGTTCAGTGTCACGGTTTGCTCACAGGGAGCTCCTCAAGCAAAGCAGGCTGTCAGGTGAGTTCGTATGCAGTTTAATGACTGAACTGATACAGCCCCAGTGGTAACATGGAGGTAGAAGCAAAGAGGTTGACCACTTCTAAAGGGAGGCGGGGGAAATAAGAGAAATTCGGGCTGTCTAAATGCTCTACCCTCCAGTGTTGCTGACCAGAATTTAGCTGACGGCACCTCCAGATAATATTATTGCATTTTAACACAGGTCTCTGAGGTGCGTAGTTGTGTAAATCAGGAGTCGATCCATTTATGTCAGTGGTGTCGTGTGGGCATTAGATGAAGGGAAAAGCAGAATTGGGAGCGGTGCGATGTGCTTGTGTGAAACATGGTACAACTGTTAAACGAGGCCTTTTTTACTGACAGGGTCGGCGTGTTTTCCAGACCATGACAAGCTACAGCAATATGAGAGAAGGAAAGGGTTTATTTGGTAATATCCTTTTATTGAATCTGTTGTATAGATGGGGAGATCTTAGACAAGCCTTTGGGCCCAAAGCCCTTTCCCCTGTCATTTATGCAGAGATTATAGCTGGTTTTGCCATTTAAATGTCCTGTGAATACTTTTTTTATTGATATTCTAGAATTTTATTTCCGTAAAGATGGACCCACTTTGGACATATCCTACAACTAAATCTACCCCAAATTCAAGTGCATGCAACAAGGAGATTTTGCTCTGAATCCACCACTTTTACTTTTAGGCCAGCAAGGAGGGATGCCCTTTGAGTGCTAAATGAAATGAAGCACTTGCAATGTGCTCTAGCTCTGTGACACACTCAAAGGCATTGGCATTGAACATTAGCTTTCGTTAGGATGGTGGAGGAACCAAATAGCTGCTCACATAATGTCCTGTGGTCTGAAGCAAGGCAGGGGCTCTAGGTGTTGAGTGCTTTTCTGTGGGAGGCAGCTTCCAACCAAATCTATTTATCAGTGTGGGACCTGTTCCTGAATGGTGCTGAGTGCTCTCTTCACTCTAGTCCTGATACCATGACCACTGAGGTCAGCGGAAAAGCTCCCGTTGCCTTCAGTGGCTTATGGATCAGGTCCAATGGCTGTAATGGGCAGTCAGAATTAAGAGGCTTTTACCGCTGTGCAGGGTCACGCACTTGTCATTGGCTTTAAGAGGAGCTGGGTCAAGCCCATGGTGCACGCTGGGAATCCTCATGTGTGTCATGAAAGAGTCTCCTGTCTCACAGACTGTCTTTGCTATTAACAGAGTTGTGTGCATCGGTCTGTACTTCGCGTGGGCTCTGTGGGGATCGGTAACTATTCATGTGCCTCCCCACTTGGTTAAAAGCTGCTGCCCCTTCTGATTTAGTAAGACAAGCACCCTGGCAGGTCTGATTCCAACAAATTGTTATTTCATGAACCCTGTCCTACTCCTGGCCCTGCCCCACAGGCCGGACTCTGTTGTCATGCAGAAGATTAGCCCCACTGGTTGCTGTAGTTACTCCATAGGAGAGAGCAGAACTAGCCCGATGCTCCCTGAACCTTGCAGAGGTGCCACTCTCAGTAGGATGCATTAGAGCCAGCTTCGTTGCTTGGCTTGTCTGGGGTCAAGGTCAGCAGAGATGCCCCGGTGGGAGTCCAGAGTAACAGAGCAGAATTTGGGGCTCATTCTCCACATTTTGGCCTATTGCAGGCTCATGCACACCCATGCACAGCGCGTGCGGGAAGTCGGTGTACAAGGCGGCCAGTTCCAAACCCATCGCTTGGAAGGCACGAGTTGTTGAAAGGGTCACAGCAGCTGGCAGAGGACGTGGGCCGCTGACACCCACTTTCTGACACCTGGCGGGATGTGGCAAAACACTTTTGTTTGCATAGCTGGTGGAGTTCAGCCATGGGGGCACTCTGGGTGTGGACACACTCGCAGCTCAGCCAGCAGCACTTGCTGTGTGTAGTGTGATGTGGACTAGGCCTTCATCTCCATACAATGCCTCAGTTCCCCCTCTGTAAAATGGGCCTAACAAAACATTACTCCCACTTAGAGGAGGCAGGATTATTAATGAACTGACTCTGGCATGCTTGGATTTGGTGAAGATGGATGCCTTAAAAAGCACCTAGAGAGACCTGTAGAGTGTATGCCTCAAACGGCAGCTCACCTTGGGGGAAAAAGGTCTGTGGTCAGTTCTGTGTCCCCCTAGTATGTAGGTGTGGTTTCAAACTCCCAGTCTTTTGTCAGCAAGGCTCGTGTGATCTCAGGAGAGCTGTGACACTAGATGAGGCCCTGAGCTGCTTGACGCAAATAAATGTGGAGCAGTGAGAGTGAATCTGGCCTCAGCAAAGAGGGTTTGACAGGGAGCAGGTGCCTGCCCTCTCTGCTGCCTCTTTTAACTTGGGGAACAACTCCTGCGGGGTCCCGCTGCAGCTGTCCACAGTGCTGGACAGACATGAGTGGGGTATAGCCCCACTCGGCCTGCACACGAGTGGGAGAAGGGACCTCGGAGGGAATGAGCTTGGGCATACATTAGTTGTCTTTATCCTGGGTGCTCTGGCATGGATCTGGTAAAGCACTGGACATGAGTGGAGCTCCCTGTATAATATCTACAAAGCCATTGCAGTATCCTCCCTGAAACCTCTGCAGCGATGCCTGCAAACCATTGGTCTTTGACAGCCACGTAGGCCACTCGACATGACTCGCTCTTGCCTGGTTCTCTCCTCGCTGAGAATTGGTATCTCCGTTTGCTTTTCGCTTTATGCAGACGCTGCAGACTCATTGGGATGGGAGCCATCTCTTCTGTTTGACAGTGTCCTGTGCCCACATGCTGGATCCCTGTGTCTGGGAGCCTGCTGTTAATGTTTCCCATACAGGGGAGTAGAAAGACATGCTAATGCGTTGTGGGTCTGATTCTGATGGTGGTTACGGCAGTTTTACACCCATAAAACTCCATTGACATCAGGGGAATTGCACCACAGTTGAGGGAAGGATTGGGCTCAGAGGACTGAACAGCTTGAACAGCATCTCTTTGCGAGAGAGGCAGCCTGCTGGGCTCTGAGGCAGCTGCTATGCAGCCCCTCCGTGCCCTTAGCCATCTACTCCATCAAGCGACGAAACCAAAGCACAACTTGGCTGAAAACAAATTGCATTTAAATGGCCCCAGGCACCAATATGCCAATCAGCAGAACGGATGGCAGGAGAAAGCCAAGCCTGCAAGTGCTCCTGGGAGGTCCGTGCAGTGCAGTGTACTGAAATGGGCCTGCTGGGTGTTGGATTGCCTCTGCCACCCTGTAACAGCTAGTCTCCATTAGCTCTGTCTTTGGCACCTTCCCAGCTAATCAGGGCTTCACTCTGCTCCAGTGAAATGACTAGGAGGTGGCTTCAAGCCCTATGACCCTAACAGTTTCAAAAGCATCTCTGCCCTGATGCTGTCTGTAAACCCGTTAGCTGGTCTCCGAGCAGATTAAGTGGCTATAATTGTCACAGTCAGCACAGATCGTCTGGCATTACCCACTCCAGCATGGTTTTTTCCAAGCTGTGTTTTTTTTCTTGTCATCCGAGCTTTATTACAATGCCTAAAATTGGTGGAAATTGAGGCCCCGGTTCCCTTAGGTGTTTTTTGAAGATAGCAGTAGTGTTACTTTTCAACCTCCAGATATGCTAGCATCCTTTATTAGTTCCTTGCTGCTACCCTTCAGGGTCCCGTACTGCACTTGTGCTTTGAGGTTTATATCACCATTAAAGAATGTGATCTTTTATCTCCCCCCTCCTCCCCCCTCAACCCAAAACAACCTTGCTTTCTCAGGATTATTGCATTCGAAAGCAAGGTGCATCTCAGGGCAGGGTGATAACAGAGCCATGTCATTTCATAGAGCGCAGGGGAACTGTGGGTTTGGGGAGTTTTTTGCCCAGTGTAGGGAGGATAGAAGGACCTTGCATGCAACAGGAGAGCAACATGCCCCAGCCAGGGTGTTTCTGAGCCTCTCCGAACCTAGAAATCCCCAAAGAAGATGCTTTGAGGACATCATCAGTGCAGTTTCCCCCAAACCACTGTACCCATCTCCTTGAAACTTGGCAGGCTTCATGCACTCAGCAGAGGCTACCACCCCTGCAAGTTTCATCCAAATCAGACAAAAAACAAAGTTATAGATATTTCATTGATTCCCCATTATACCCTATGGCCTAATCTCTGAATTGGCTTTGGAGCCGATTCGAAGCAGGAAACTGTTTCAGAGCTCTGAATCGAATCGCTGGCATCCAAATCAGCTGAATCCGAACCTGAATTGAATAGTTCCCTATTCGCACAGGCCTAGTGTACACATCTTCTTGCTAGTCTTTTGCATGTTGTGGCTCTAGGAGCATTTTTCTCTGATTTGGTAGAGCCCAATTTGCATTTTCTATGTTCACTTCATTTCCATGTCCTTTGCAAATCCATGCTGGTGAAACGCAAACTAGCACAGCCAAATTTGGATGACAAATGTCCCTTGACTATTCAGGGGTTTGGGTTGTAGCCGTGTTGGTCTAAGGACACAGGCAGACAAGATTCCTTGGGTGAATATGATATCTTTTATTAGACCAACCCAAATAGTTGGAGAAAAGTTATTAAGCAAGCTTTCGGGTTCAAAACCCTTCGTCAGGCTAAGGAAGTTTCAGCAGTGAGATGGCCTGGATCTCTTAACACAAAAGGGACGGCACAGAGGACTTGTAAGAAACTTGCATGAAAAATTATCCTGATCTCTACGATATAAATCCAGAAAAGTGGAAAGTCTTTGACTTGTCACTTTTTAATGAAACAATCCACGGAAACCTAATTAGCAATATGCATGTTCCCATTGGGTGAGCACCCTCACGAAACCCAAGGTGCTGTCCCATAAGCCAGAATGCATCTTTAAGAGGATGTTGTGCTCTATTGATGCAGCAGATATACAGGAGGAACGGAGGGTGATGAAAGAGTGACAGCAGCTAAGGACTAATGAAGGCACCTTTTTTTTCTAAACTAGCTGCTGGGAATAGAGGAGCTGATCCTTGAAGTGGCCTCAAATATGGTTCTCACCCTCACAGCCTGCAGAAAAGCAACTTGGCGCTTTATCTTGTCCCTAATCTATCCATCTCCCCCACCCATGCTAGCTCTGGCAAATGCGTGGAGGGGAGCAAGGAAGGATCCAGCCTTCCATGGTCAGCGACCAACTTTCCTGGTTCTCAAACCCTCTCAGTCGGATCCAGAGCACCGACAACTTCTATGACGAGCAGTGTCCTCCTCCCTCCTCCACTATTTCCTGTTTCCATATTGCTATTGTATTTCTGTGTCCTGCAGAAAGCAGGGTAGAGTTGCACCTTATAGACTAAAGCAGAGATGCATAAGCTTTTGAAAGCAGCAGTTCACTTCATCATCGTACTAAGGATCAGCTAGAAACGAACATGCAGAAACATCCTGAGAGAGGCAGCACTTGGTTTGGACATCTGCCCCTGTCGAGAGCCTGGTAATGTTGAAAATATGCTAAGGGAACTGATTCAGACAGAGAAGCATCAAATGGTTTGAGGACTCTTGCTCAGACGACCCTGCGGTGGTCCTGGCTGTGAAAAAGGTATCTGAACAAGCAATTTCATCCTCTAGGGATCAGCTCGTGGAGAAGAAAGACCTACTACTGTTGCCTTTAGGTATCTTCCTTTAGCTCAGCTAATAGAGCCCTGAAGCTTGAGACCTGGGTTTGAATGTTCAGCCCAAAAGAAAGGGCTGTGCATGTTTCACACCATCACCGTGTCTGCAGGCTGCAGCTCACGTGACAAACCAAACCCCTCTGCCAGCTTTGTCCTCCACTTAGCCAGAGTCCTTGTCCTCTGGTGCCTCCTTGGCATAGTTCTGGAAACGCTCCAATGTGTTCCAGTCGGGCTTGAACTGGAGGACGTAGCACTTGGGGAGGTAGTTAGCTATAAGGGTGCCCAGGACTGTGCTAAGGATGGCGCCCATCTGGGTGGCAGGCTTGTAGGTGGGCTTTATGGTGGTATAGGTGGCGATGAAGAAGATCCAGGTTAAGAAATAGATCAGCATAGTGAACGTGATGCCCCGGGCTATGTTGTACTTCTTGCCTGAGGTCTGCACCATGAAGGTGCAGAGGAAGCAGATGAAGGCCGTGGCGCTGTTGAAACCATGCACCAAGAAGAAGAAGAGCCAGGACTGTAACTGGCAGTAGAGCAGCGTCTCTGTGGGCAGCAGCTTGTAGTCGTACTTCAGCAGGGGAGGGGCACTGCAGAGGGACCCGAGGCACAGCAGGCTCTCGACAAGGAAGCAGAAGGCCACCAGGATCCAGGCTCTCCTCTGGGTCACCCAGGGCAGGAGGGTGCGGGCACAGCTCTTGAACTCCGTCACCAGGGCAATCTGGAGTGACTTGACGAGGAGGGTGGAGAAGCAGATGCTGAGGCACAGGGTGTAGATGGGCTGGTATATCAGGCAGATGTAACGCCTGGGCTTCCCTACATACAACATGGTGCTTATGCTCATCAGCGAGAGGCTGAGCAAGGCGCAGACGCTCATCCAGCCCCCGGCCGCCTGCACCAGGGGGGTGCTGAGGTTCCTGTAGAAGAGGGCAGCTGCCAGGCAGCTCAGGGCCAGGGCAGTGAACGTCAGGATGAGCAAGCCAATGGTGAGCGGCTCCCCCCAGAAGAGGTACCTCTCGGTCCGGTCCCAGCACTTGATGCTTTGAGCCGGCGACCACTGGTGCTGGGAGCAGGGAATGCAGAACCTGTCTTCTGCAAAGAGCCAGGAGAAGGCAGTGATGGCCTCGTGCCCCTGCCCCAGAGATCTTCGAGCATGCAGGGCCCCTGGATCATGGCGGCCCAATCCCTTTCCTCTCCAAACTCCCATGCTTTCTGTTTTCACTCCCTTCCCCTGATCTCCCCCCTCCACACACACACACACACACACACACACCCCCCCCCCCCCCCCCCTAGCCACTCTCCCACCGTTCAATCCCGTGTCTGCAGCAGAAGTGCCAGCACTTGAGTCCTGCAGGGTGAGACCAGGCACTGGGGCATCCACTTCTGTCCCTCCTGCACACAGGCCACATCTTTGGTGCAGGGAAGAACACAGAACCGGACCCCGGGTTTCCTCTGCTCTCGAGTGGGGGGCCAGCGAGGCAGCGGCACTCACCCTTGCTGTCCTTGTAGGTGTTTCTGGGGCAGTCGATGCAGTCGTAACAGCAGAGGTGGAAGCCCTTCACTCTTCTCAACTGCCCTGGCTTGCAGTGGCTGAAGCAGGTGGACATTGGGTTCTGGATGACAAGGGGGAGGGACGTGGTCAGACCTGAGCAGCTGGCCTCGGCATGCACTGGAACAAGCTAGCTGTGGGTGGGCTCTCCAGTCCTTACTGGACTGGATTGGAGCTGTTCAGCTGTGTGTCTTGTTCCCTCTACAGCTCCGGGAGAGTCTCATTTCCAACACACAGCTGGAGTCTGTCATAGGACCAGGAGGAACTGGGTTCAGAGCAAGCAGCCCTGGTCGACGGCCCTGAGCAGGGAGCTGAAGGTGAGGTATGGTATTCCCATCGTCATCCTCATCTCTTCCCCACCCCGCCCCGCTGCCCCTCGTTACCTTGTTATCCTCAGTGTGGAACTGGATCAGGGACTTGTTGATGGACAGGGAGTTCTCGTATTCCCCGACGGAGATGTGGTGGAGGGTGTGGTTCTGCCAGCTCCACAGCAAGATCTCATAGCCCATGTTGGTGCTCTGGGACTGGTCAAACTTGAAGCTGTAGTTATTCACCTCGAACTGAAGCGTCCTCATGACCTCCAGCAGCTGCCGGAGGAAGGGAGAGACATGACTGGCCACGGGCTCTGGAGGAGCAGGGCCAGCAGGGCTGACAGCCTGGGCACAGATGCTCATGGGTGGAGCACGGTAGCAGAAAGGGGATGGGGGAGTCGTTCATCACAGCCACAGGCTCCCGAGCACCTGGAGAGTGGCAGGGGGCTGGAAGGAACGTCCCCATCCCTGTTTTTTTAGCATTAGCCTTTGTATGGTGCTAACTCTGGGACAAGGCAAACAGTAACTACACCAACTGTAGGGGCCAGGACTGGTGCAGGGGGCTAAGATGTTGGCTCTATTCCAGTTCCTGGGGTGACCTTGGCAAATCACTTGCTGCCCTGGGCCTCCATTTCCTGATTTGTAAAGCGTGGCCGATGCTCCCGTGTGAAGTGCTGTGCCAGCAGGACACCCCGTTGCTCTGTATTTATTGCACCTGGGGGTCAGTCCTTGCTGGACCAGTAGCACCAGGGTCAAGCATCTGGTCAGTGGCAGGACCAAGGATTGAGCCCTAGTCTTCTAGCTCTGCAGCCGCCCCAGGACCACACTGTGCTAGGCAGGGCAGGACCAAGAGAGGGGACCGGATAAGGCAGCAGTCTGGTCCTCTACAGCTAATCTGTGCTGCCCGGAGCATGGATGTGGGACAGGGAAGAGGACAAAGCCCGCTCGCGGATAGGGAAGGAGCCTGTAGGGTGACGCAGGGACCCAGCCCTCACTCACCTGCCAGGATTTGATGGGCACCGTGGAGCACCTGTCCTTCGTGCAGCCGAGCACCTTGTGCAGGGCATGGGCCACGCTGTACACAGCCATGTACACCGCGTAGGTCTGCCGGTGCATCACCAAGGAGGCCACATCCTGCCAGCTCATGTGGTTGCAGTGCTCGCACTGCGGGCCCAGCACCCCCGACTCCATTTGGCGGCTCCACTCCCGGGAGGCCTGGCAGAAGCTCTCCTGCTGGATGGAGGTGAAGAGCTGGGCGACATAATCCTCAAAGCCGAGTACCTTGCCACCTTTGATGATGAAACCGATGACAGTCCCGATGGTGTGGATGCGAGGGATGGAGATGATGATGTCGGACATCACCCAGGCTTCGGTGGCAATCCAGACTTTCGGGCTCAGCCCCTTCTTGATGCAGCGCTCCAGCAGGGTCTGCGCCGGGCGGTCGATGGAGAAGAGCACGATGACGTTCACCTGGGTGGAGTTGATGTATTTAATCACCTCGTCCAGCTTCTCCCAGGGGTTCGGGTCCAACCAGTCGGTGGGGATGACACCCTCGTAGGCTATGCAGATCCCGTAGCTGGCGGCCAAGTTGGTGAAGAGGCTGAGCCCTTCGCGGCCGTACTCATCGTCGCTCCCGATGACGGCAATCCAGTTCCACTCGAACCTTTTGAGCAGGTGGATCATGGCCTCCACCTGCTGCTTGTCGCTGGGCACCGTGCGGAAGAAGGAGGGGTACAGCTCGCTGTTGCTCAGTTTGTCAGCGCTGGCTCCGTAGCTGACCTAGAGGGAAAGGCTGAAGCTGATTCTGGGGGCTGCTAGGATACAATTCGGCGACTTCCCTCCGCTGAGGAGCTGCCACTGCCACTTGCTTCCTCCCTCGTGCTGCCCTTTCACTCGGTTCAAATGGGGCGTCTTGCCTGTGCAAGGGTCTGGCCTCCCCCTCATCCCTCTGGTCACAGAGGGCTTCATGCTGGAAGGGCTGAGCCCCCACGAGTCCTACAAGCCCCAAAGGAAATCAGGAGTGCGCAGTCCCTGGCAGCGAGCAGCGTTCACCTCCATTAGACCAACAACCGCTACTGGAACAAGAAGGGGCCTTCGGTCTTTGGATGCGTCTGCTGCCCCAACACAGCCCCTTCCTTGCTTGGCTCTCTCACTGCCGCCTTTGCACCTCCTAGTCCAGAACAGATTTATCCCCACGACACACCTGGGCTGTAGCACAGTGCCGGGAAACTGAGGCACAGAGGAGCCAATCCAGAGGGTGTGAAGGTATTTGAGCTCCCCTGGAGTCAGGCTGGGTATTTTCATGCCTGTGTGTGCACTGCCCAGGCCGAGGGACTTGCCCAGGATCACACAGGGGACTAAGCTCAGACCTCCCAAGTTCGCAGGCCAATGCTCTAACCACTGGCCCATCCCTCCTTTGACAGCTGCTGGGCCAGATCTCTGGTCCTGCGCAGAATGAGTGAGCCTTGGCCGCACCATTACCTGCGGGGTCAGGAAGAAGCTGAAGAGCTTGGCCGTCGCCATGCAGAGGTCTGACGTGTGGGGCCCGATCACAGCAGCCACGCGGGGCTGGTAGTCGGTGTAGTTGCACAGGACGTCGATCCCGGCGCTGCGCTCCCGGGTCAGGAAGAGCAGGCTGGGCTGCAGGGCCACCACGGGCTCGAAGCAGCTGTCGTAGATCTCGTAGCCCAGCTGGACGCCCGGGAGCAGCGACGTGGAGTTGTTGATCTCATCCACGGTAAACTTCATGCCCAGAGCCCAGATTAGCCCCGTGGCATATAACCTGCAGAGAGAGGAGGCAGCACAGCAGGGACTCCTACCCCCCTGCCTCTCCCACAGCCAGGGGCAGCAGGACCCTCATGTGAAGGAGGAATTTCCTTCTTGCTCTTTGACCCCTGGGCAGCCCCCGATGGGAGTAGCGCTGCCAACCAACACAGCTGAGCCTGCCTCTCGCCGGGCCAGCTCTGGAGCAGGGCATCACTAGTGTGATGGGACCTTTGCCGTCTATTGCCTGAGGCTCCCTGGGCACTTCTGCAGCATATCTCTTTGGCTCCACAGCTGCGTTGGCAGATGCGTTACCTGTGATTCAGTGATTTGGCAACTTTGCTGGGAGGGGTGAATATCACAGGAGAAACCCAGGGGCGATCAGGACCCCGTGTTCTTGGCTTGACCTTTGGGCATGGGGGTGCTGCAGCCTTCAGGTCTGCTCTGCCCAGACCCCGACCCCAACCTACCTTTCACACGCGACAGCCGTGGGCTCCACCCGCGCGCTGAGGTTCACGGTGTTGATGCCGAATGGGAACAGCCCTCCCAGGATGTAGTGGCCAGGCCTCTTGAACTGAGCCGACATGCACGTGAGCTCGCGGGCTGCCACGCTGCCAGAGCTCAGGAGCAGCAGCAGGATGCTGGCCATGGCTTCGCTGTCCTGCAGCCGGTGCTTGTAGGGGTGTTTAAAAAGGCAGAGGTTTGGGGATGGATGGAGGGGGTGGCATCAGCAAGCCCTGGGGGCTCTTGCTGAGGAGAGTGCTGGGAGGGGAGTGGGACACTGGAGAATTTGCTTAGCAAAGTGCATTCAAGGAGGGATTTTGTGTTCGGCGCTCGGCAGTCAAATGCACAGCACTGCCCTCCCGGCGTCATCTGCAAACCATGAGCCCAACCCCAGGTGCCATCTCAGTGAGGAGCCTTTGTGCAGGGGGCAGGTGAGGAGGAGGTGGCATGGGGGAGACTGGCAAGCTGGCTTTGCATAAAAAGAAAAAGCCTTTGCAGCGGGTTTTGGAAGCTGCCACCTGCTTGCAAATTCCAGGGACGCCCCATCTGGCATGTCTTCTCGCAGCCCTCGGCCACTGTCAGGCTCCTCCCTGAGAGTGCCCGAGTGAAGGGCCTGGTCCGGTACGGTGCTGGGTGCCTTCTGGTTGTCACCACATTGCGTAGCGAGAGCTCGGGAGTTGGTCTGTCTGTCAGGGGGGTTTGCCTCCCTCAAGTGATGCTGCCGCTCCATCCTTCTCTTGGAGTGACGTGGCCGCGTACGGTGGCGATGGCCTTATATACATGGGCCAGGGTGCTCAAGGTGGGGAGTGAGGCAGGTGCTCAACTTGGGGATACCCAGTGGGGGTCTGAAGCTCAGAAACTGGGGAGCATCTGCTCTCAAGTCTCACGTTGGGTGGAAGGACTGACTGCTGGAGCGCATTGCCCAGCCTCTGCTGGGGTTTCCCCCAGTTCCTCTGACCTGCCCATTGACTTGTGTGGCTTGCAGTGCTCAGCCCAGGGCTGGGAAATGCTCCCAGGCAAGTCAGAGAGGACACAGGCACCCCCCAAATCTTACTGGGCTACATGGGGGGGTTGTTTTGTAGTAGCACCTGGAGACCCTACTTGAGATCGGGGCCCCATTGTGCCGGGTCCTGTGTAAGTGCATGGGAGAGGCTGTCCCCACCCCGAAAAGTAACAGTCTAGGCTGATGGAGGGGTGGAAGGGAGAAATGGGGCATTTGGGGGTGACCTTGTCAGAAGCCAAAGCCATTGAAAGGCAACAAGCTTCTACAGGCTGAAGACACTCTGAGCATGAGACTTGGACTCCTAAATCACTTGGGCATTTTTTAAATGCTTCTCTCTCTGGCCTGCCCAGGGGCACCCGGTGTCTGTGGCCGAGCTAGCTCAGCCCACACAGCTCCTAATCCGGCACCATAACCCCAGGACTGTCTTGCCTCTCCTGCTACCACCCATCAGCAGCAGATGCACGTGCTCACCTTGTCTCAGCGCTGAGCAGCCCAGCTGTAAGACAGGACTGCTGCAGAAGGGTTTGAGTTCGAGCAGTGGTTCCAGTCATCTGTCCCTTCCTACTAAATCAATAATTCATTTGGACTGGCAGAAAAAGGGGGGAAAAGGAAAGGGAAGGAAAGCAAGAAAAATGGTTGGCAGTCGAGATTGTAAATATCCCATATCTTTTGCAATAAAAGGCTTCAGTGGGGACCATTAATCAGTCACAGCAAGCACCAGCCGTGCCGCTCTGAGGGACCCGGGATATGATTTCCTGGCAGGGCCTGATCAGTCATCGCGCGCTGCAGTGACGGATCACAAGGATGTGCCACGCTGCTGCGCCGGGAAGGGCAGACCAGGCTTCTTGCTTCCGGCCAGGTGGGGCCTAGCAAGTGAGCTGGGCTTTGCTTTGTGTCGAACCTGCAAAGCTGGGTCGTTGGTCATTGGGACATGTCTGCTCCGTCGATCTTACCTCTGCTGCGGGGGTCCGCCCTGCCTCTGCTATGGCTGGTGCAGGGAGACGGCAGGACTTGGACCCTTCCTAAGTGCTTCCTACCCAGGGAAACACCGTCCCTAGTGACCGAAGGGAGGACGATGGGCAGATGGGAGTCGGGGTCAGGACTCCTGTGTTCTGGCCTTGGGATTGCTGTCCCTTTACTGCTTGATCTGGGAGAGGTGACTTCCTACCCTCCAGGCTGCAGTTTACCTGTTAGGGAGATGATTCTGTTGCTACCTATCTCCGAGGGGCATTTCCAAGAACCTAAAAAGAGGCTAACAGGTCTAGAAAGCGTGGCACAGGAGGAAAGGTTGGGAGAGGAGGTTGTTGGAAAGAGAACAGAGACCAGTTGGAGAAGGATGAATGAGTTTGCAGTGCAACAAGGGGGACTTAAATTGGAGATTGGGAAGAACTTTCTGCCCATAAGGATGGTCGAGCACGGGAACAGGTAGTTACGGAAGTGAAGTGGGAGTGGTGCAGTGTGGGTGAGACAAAGCCTCTTCTGGGATGGTTTTGCCAGGGCTGGTGCAGCCTCGAGCAGGAGGTTGGACTAGGTGATCTCCTGACGTCCCCGGCAGCCCTATGGTTTTATGAGCAGAGGAGCCCTTCTCGGCGCACAGTGCATGGGGTGTGATGGCTCCATGTTTAAGCCTTTCCAGCTGGCATAGCCAGGGAATGAACCCTCCATACCCCGAAGAACCGGGGAGTGGCAAACCTTCCCCGGGGAGCAGGGGAGCCAAGCCGTGCATTTCTGCAGTGCAGAAGCCAAAGGGAATTGAAGGCGTCTACGACACCAGCCCACGCTGCCCACAATAGCTGAGACAACGGCCAGGGACCGCTCGCTGGAGGCCATCCCAGCAGTGTGCCCTTGCCCAGGAGCTGGGTTTGGCAGTAAAGCAGAGTGGTCCTCACCTTGCTCAGTTAGCCTGTGGGGTCTGGCTGGGGCCATCCTACAAGCTCCGGGCCTGGCTCCGTTCACTCTCATCAGCCCATCCAGGCCAGATCCATTCGCAGAAACAGGTGCTCGTGTATCCCCAGACGCGTGTCTGGCTGGAATATGCTCTCACCTGCCCTCCAGATTGCAGGGCCATAGCCCGCCTTCCCCGGCCCTTGCCTTCTCCCCTCTCTCTCCCTCTCCACTGCACGTTAGCTCTTTTCCTGCGACGAAGGATTGTTTGCCGCTTGCTGCAGTGACTCTGCGGCAGGATGAATGCAAGCGTGTGATCAGGAGCCTTATTCTGGGCCCCGGCTACTGCTTATCTCCAGCAGACGTTTTGTGCACAAAAGGGGCCCTGAATAGGACAGCAGCAGCTCAGGGCCTGTTAGCGAAACCAGACCGTCCTCTGCGAGGCGAGAGCAGACGTCGCCAGGGAATGGTCAGATCTGCTGCCCTTGGACCTGATCTTCCCCTTCTGCTGAGCCGTTGCTTTGTTTGAACTGGAAGGGAAATCCATCAGCTTACAGGTGGGCACGCAGAGTCCCCTTTGCACATGCGTGGGCAGAGATGACGTGGTGACCAGTCACCCCACATGTGCTTCTTAGGCTCCTCTGGGCATGCACTAACCAGTCACTCCAGGCCCTCGCCTCCCCTGCCTTGACTGATGGTGTGATGGGGGTTTCCGCTCTTGCTGGTGTTGTGCTTTCCAGCTGGGTGCAAGGGGTTGATGTGGCCGTCTGCGCCAATCTTTGAGTCGCCGGCTGCCTCTGAACGCAAGGGGCTGGATCCACGGCACGGGGGAGGGACTGGTATTGCATGGGGTCTGTGCTCACACGGGTGGGATGTGCAAGCCCTGTGCTCGCAGGCAGAATCGAGACCGGGTCTTGGCTTCTCTTCAGACTCGGGTCTGGATTGGGACCATGCCCACCTGCATGTACCGGGAGGGAGGGGTGAGCATTAGAAAGCCCCTTAGCCACTCTGCCTGGGATGAGTGTGTCCCCCTGTGCAGAGCAAAGTCACGCTATGGTTTAGACTTGCCTGAAGCCCTTGAGAGACTCCCTTCAGCTGGCAGATAAGAAATGAAAATGCCCTGTTGTTACAACAAATACAGCCCCTTCCTCACTTGGTCCTTTGGGAGGGCTCACTTCAAACACCAAAGCAGGTGGGCACAGATGCCCTCTTCCCCCCCGGCCCCAGCTCGAACCAGGTGAAGACTTCAGTGCAATGGCAAAGGCTGGCGATCTGGGCCCGTGATTAATGTCACGTGCAGGGGCAGCGGTAACGAGACGGCAGGCCCCGGCGCCTTTCAGACAAGGCTGCTCCGTGACTCCGAGTTAACGACGCTGTCGTTTGCCTACCAAATAAGTGCTGTAGCTCATGTTCCTTATTGAGCAATTACAGAGGAATTATATATCTCCCAGTCGCTTCAGATACGGGGGCAGCCAATAACTCTTCTCTCGCCTGTCACTTGCTCATTTTACATCGAGGTCGTGCTGTTCCTTTAAGTAATAATTTCCATCCCTGGTGGGTCATAAACTCTCACTATTGCTGTGATAAATCTAAGGGGCTTGGGGAGCCGATTAAAGCACGTACAATTGTATTTGACATCTCAGGTTTCATTGTGGGACAGAGCTGACCTCAGGGTTATTTTTCTGCTCTCACCATTAGTTCAAGGGGACGACGGGTGAGAGGAGTTCTGGAATGGAGATGTTTTACCTGGTAAATTCACTTTTTTCCACCTGCCTAGGGCCAGTCCTGATTTTCCTGCCAAACCTGATGCTGGGAGTGCATTGACAAAGAATGTGAATTTGCTGGGCGTGTGGATGCCAAAGGCTTTCTATAAGCTCCTGGGGAAAGGGACAGCAATAAAAATGCCATCCAACTCCATTTTAGAAATCCAAGTGATGGGACTTGTTTCATTGAGACAGTCAGCCAATGGCCAGTTGATGGTCCCTGCTCAAACCCCTAAACCTTTGTGGTCTACTGATAGCTAATCACTCCACGATGGACAAATCTCTCAAGCTCAAGAGATAAGAAGCTGAAAGCTCGGATGCGAAGCTCCCCCTTTTGGGTCTGCTGACATTTCACTCTGTGAAGCAGCGAACAGACAGGGACAGCTCTGGCTGGAGGTTTGCTCTCAAACCCGCTTTGGACAAATGTTTTCCAAGAGCACCGCTCTTAAATTACAAGCATTGTCCTCCTCAGGCTACTTTACACAGGCTCCAGGGAACCGAGGGACTGTCCACCCTTCCGGTACCAGGATCCTACGTAACACCATGCAACTGTTTGGGGAAGCCCTTTCATCCTGCTGAGCCTTGGGAAATAAAACAAGGAGAGGAGCCATTCCTAAGCAGAGAACACATGTTCTGAAACCAGGTCAGACGCTACGTGGCTTTGTGAATAAATTATTCAGCCTTCTCCCCTGACAGGCCAGCTGGGGTTTGAGGGCAGTGATGATGAAATGCCATTAGAAGAATGTAAAATAGTTGTTGTGAAGACATGGAGTCAAACATTAAATGCTGCCATTAAGTGCAGGCAGCTTCTCCAGGGACGCACGGCGCATTTCTCCTGTTCCAGATGCTCTCTCCTCATCTTGGCTATTCGCTCTCGTTGGGACCTATTATTGCACAACCTTTCACATTCTTCCCGAGGTACCGAATTTATTCTCCCATCCCCACATTCTTTGAGCCTTTTCATCCAAAGGCACAGAGACTCATTTTTCAGCTAAAGCTCCCTATGTTGCAACCTTTGCTGGTTTTCAAATTGCACTGGGAAAAAAACTCTGTGTAAAGGTGACCTGCAGTGCAATATGGCTGAGGTTTATTTTTAAGAGAGCAGTAGATGGATGCACTCAGAGACCCAGGGTCAGGGTAGGAGCTAGTCACAGGCAGGAGGAATTGCAAACACTTTTTCTCTTTAAGTCTAAGAGACTGGCCCACGGACCTCTGAACCTCACTCGATTGTTGCTGGAATATGCTTGGGCAGGCAGCTTCACCGTGCAGTGGAAAAGTAAGTGGTGCTGCTATTTTTTACAAGAGACATTGGTCAGATTTCTCTCCTATGGCATTGCTACATCTTTAATGGAAATAATGAGGTATGCTTTAGAGCGTGACAGTGCATCTACTTTAGGACCAAAGTTTTTCCATCAGCATCACGTCACAGGAAGACTGATCATACTGAGCACCTACCTCTGGACTTAGCCCCCAGGTCTGCTGCTCTTTTTATTTGCTCAGCTTTTATTTATGCCCCACTATTAATACACAGCAGAGGCACTAGTCTCCGCTTCTGGACTGGAACACTGCTTTCCTTAAGTGTTTTAGGGACGTGACGTTAGGTTCATTCCTGCGTCGTCTCACCTTGTGAGAGCAAACTAAATTGTAGGCTTCCTGAGCTGGAGTGGAAGTTATCGTACACTGCTTGATGGCACCAGCGCAAGCTTCTTACTGAGGTTTCTTTGAACCATTGTCACCCCTTCAAGAAAAGTCCAGGGTGCAAAGGTAGGAACAGGAGCAGTGTGAATCACAGTTCATGGTTCAAGTATGCAAGTTATATTTGAAGACTAAGCACAAATTTGTGGAGGAGCAGGAGTAATTTAACACCTGGCTGATTCAAGGGCAACATGCATAAAAGCAGCAGATAGCTGCTCAGTATTTCAGCCTCCTCTTCCAAAATGTTCAGCTAATAAGCTCCATCTGGTGCACTAGTGCACTCATTGCAACCAGATACCTTTTTTTTTTTTTTTGGATCTAATAAAAAGTCACAAAAAATCATCATAATCTCTGAACTAAGAGTTCTAGAGGTTTGCATTTCTCATTGCAACCTGATTTTAAAAAGGAGCATTCATCCCTGCAGTCGTAGCTCCGCTTATCGAGCAACAGTCCGTGTTTCAAAGTGGGCCTGACCTGCAGACAGCACATTCAGAAGTCAGTGGGGATCTGCACCAATTGCCAGGCTCCACCATTAATGAGCAGCTTTGAACAGAGGCAAGGGGAGCCGAAGTGGCCAAGAGATCTTAGACAAGTGGCAGAGTGCAGCGAGCAAAGAACAGTGCTGGAAGCGGTGCAGTTCTCATTGAGCAGCACACACACGGAGAAGTGGGCTAGAGATGTTACCGAGATGGCAGCCAGCAGCTTGCCTTGTGTATTTTTGTACGGGTGCGTTTCTGAAGCAGCCCAATATATAAACCCCCTACCCTGAATAAAAAGGGGAATTAGTATAAACAGCACACGGAGAGGTAGCACCGACAGGCCGACTTTAATGGGAAAAAACAAAGGCAAGTAAGTTATTTTTCAACTCCTGCCCTTAAACTTTTGGTCTGACGAGATGAGTGCTTAGCTTGGACATATCAACGGAGAACAAACAAACCACCTGTACACGTGGTAAAACTGCTGTCTTTGTATTAATCCCGCGGAACACAAACATTACATCCATTTCTGAGCAATACATGGCACAAAACCATCAAGAAGCAACACAATATGCCCCAAAAGCACCTAGTCATGGAATACCAGCTGCCTCTCATCAGGAGAGGCTGAACTGAGAAAGTTTTTATGCTGGCTATCACAGAATAAAACATCCCCGAGTATTTCTTAAAAGGTGGCACATGGAGCTACCTGGATTGTCATCATGCATAATTTGCTCCATGGCACTGTGTGCAAAAGCAGCAATTTTAAAGGTCAAAAATCTTCACGTGGAAGGAGAACAACACATTTCACAAAGCTTTCTTAGAGCATGGACACACACCTACCATGGTTAAGAGGTATTTATCATGGCTGGCACTGGACAGGAAAACCTTCCTTTCCAAGTCCCTTAGCTAAACAGTTTTCCATAGAGAGACACCAGTCATCCAGACAGAGGTGCATTCTGCACACATCAGTTAAGGGTTTGGTCTCGTTTGTAATCAACAAGCTAAGCTGCTAATTACCCAGCTGCTCACGACAGCACGCTTTGCATCAAGCCAAAGGTCACACAGGCCTTCCAACATCTGAAAGAGGGAGGCATTCCTGTATGACAGCGCTCTGTGGGAGCAAGTTATTTTATGTAATTTAACGGAGAACAGTGTTAACTAGACTGAACCTTGTAAGGTAATACTGAATTCTTGTATCCCACAGAATAAAATCAGCAGCCATTCAAGTGTCTAGGGTGATCTTGTTTTAGTGGTTTTCAGAACACGGGTAGCGGTAGTGCCTCTCACGATACAAAACACTGCCAGGGCTTTCAAAATTCAAGTATGCTGCCTTATTTACATGTCCCTTCTTATTTATCCTATACTTCAGCAAACAGGAATCCACACTAAAATAGCAATAGAACTTGCATGAATATTTACCTTCTGTTTAAAACCTAACATTTAGTTGGTCTGGAAACCATTAAAGCTTCGGGGAGAGGCGGGGGAAGAAGCCGCACACAGATTTGATATACAGCACAAGTTACAATCATCCCAACAAGCCCAAGGCATTTTGTTTCTCCAAGCCTCCAGCATTCCCTTTGTTTCCTCAAGCTTATTATAGTGTTATGTAGTGTCTATATATACAGCCCTCAAAATGCATAAAACTCCGCACTGTTCTGTGGCTTAGTATCATGCAGCATACACTAAAGCAGCTTCCTCAACTCAGAACAGCAAAGAGCAAGAGGGGATAGAAAGAAGGAATAGAAAAGGATTCCCTGCTCTGACATGCCTGCATAGAAAGGGAGAGACAAATACATTACTGTATCACAGTTCAATGCTCCTGAACTCTTTTGGAGGGGAGGGGAAAGCAGAGGGGAACACGCAAGAATGATCTGCTATTAACGACAAACAATTTTCAAGAAGGAGATCTATGCTCAACTGCTCCTTCCAAGAGCGAGCATCACAGTTACCAGAGCCCAGGAATAAAAGTGCATCAAACTAAAAAGCAAAATTCAAGGCTCTGGTATGTCCCAAGGATTTCTCCCTCGTCCCTGAACAGGAGGCTGAACAGACCTCCCCAGTGTTCTTGCTTCAAGGTGAAAATTAAGCGATCCTTCATTTCTGGGTCCTACGTTCAGTTTTCTAAAGAACTAAAAATCAGATAAAGTTTGGAAAGGAACCCAGGAGACAGGAGAGAGATGAAGAATCCCTTGAAGCAAGAGCAATACCATATGGCTTTGGAATGGTCTGAGTTTCTTTCAACAAAAACAGGAGCCAAAACATGGATGCTATCATGAGACTCAAGAAAAGCACTGATTTGGCTGCAGTCTAATAGCAATATATGAGAGTTGACAATGGAACAGAAGAGGAAAGACCCCAAGCTTTAGTGCAGATCAGCAGGTTCTAGTTTACACGTGTGCACAGCGATAAGGAGCGTGGGTCCTTGCAAGCCACACTACCGAGACAACGTGATCAAACCCCCCCCTCAAGGAAGGTCGAGCATTTTATGCTTTGCATACAGCTCCTCTGTGATCTCATAGACTTTGCAGACATAAGGCAAGGCTTCCCCCAGCATATCTACCGCCTCCTCGGGAGTGCCAAGATTCATGTTTTCCAGGAACGCGTTTCGGGTGGGCAACGCACAGAAAGCCAGCGTGGCGGCCTTGCGAATAACCCAGGGGTGGTAGTTTGCCAAGGAGGCGTTATACGAGTCTGTGCAGATCACAGACGTCTTGGAGTCCTCCTGGCTGGTCCTCAGCCCCTCGAGAAACATCTGCAGCCAGTGAAGGGCTCGGTGGAGGCGCAAGACGGTCCGGCAGCCCGACTCTGGGCACTCCCCTCGGTTTTTGAGACTGACCAAGCCGCTGGCCAACTCGTACTCCACCATGGTCTGAAGAGTCTCGTATCTCTCCCGCTGGTCGCTGCTGCGGTACTTCTCCATGATCTGTATCTTGGTCACCGCGTCTTTTGACACGAAGGAAAAAATCGTGCCCAGGCTGTTCAGAAACCTACGGTCAGAACCACAAAAACCTCATTACGCAACAGGAAGAGGGAGCTGCCGAAACAGCAGCAGCAGCAATAAAACAACCAAAGCTCCGAGATTGAGCGGAGTTTAGGGGACACGCCAGAACAGGGAGAAGGAATATATACAGGAAAATACGGCAGCGCGGTCTCTTGAGAGCAGAGGCACGGCCTTTGTAGGCTCCCGGCTGCTTCCCATCACCTCCCCGTTTCAGAGGCTCGGTTATTTATTACCGTATTTATCTACTTGAGGAGGAGCTGGAACAAAGGAGGAGCAGCAGGTGGGAGGAGGAGGGGCCGAACACAAAGCAGGGGGGGAGTCTATTTAGGGCAGAAAATACCCCCCTGCAGGGGTGGGGGGTAAGGAATAGGTGTGTGTGGTGTGTATGATAATATGGTAGGAGTTAACATAAGGCAGGTGGGAGAATACGGTACTGATAGGGAGGCACGGAGAATATGGTACTAGGAGGGAGACAGGCAGCGCGTGCACGCGGGAGAATACGGTACCAGAAGGGCGGTGCGCGTGCACGCGGGAGAATACAGCCCCGGCTCCCCCCTTACCTGATGAGCCCGTTCCAGCCGCGCAGGTAGGGGTCCATGAGCACGGTCTGCTCCGCCGTGAGGCAGGCCCGAAAGGCGGCCAGCACCTCCCGCAGGCAGGAG